TGTTAACTTTCACACTGTATTTCCTTTGCTCTGTGTCATTCCCACAATCTAGTAGGAACTATCTCGTATTTCTTTGCACCCTCCATAGCTACTGGAAAACCACCTCAGTGTGCCAGGAGATCAATAAATACTTTTGATTAACTGAATTAAAGTAACAAAACGGTGAGGAAAGGAAAGAGAACAGAAGACTAAGGAGTGAGAATGCACAACTTAGAGGCAGAGTGAAGTCCTAAAACCTCCAGACAACTTTACTTTCACTGGGGCTGGCAGAGAACATCACAATAGGTCCAGTCAGTGCTGAGCTCAAATTGCAGTACTTACTGAGCTGGTTCTCCCTCGGGAGGACAGCATCTCTGCTATGGTCCCTCAATTTTACTTCCTCAATTAGCAATGACGTTTTTAAGAGTAGGAGACCCAACTCAGGATGATTTCAAGCCATATAATACAACTAGCTTCCAACAAGGTCATATTTTACAGATATTATTCTGTTAAGTAATTATGACAGCACAGAAAATAATACTTGAAGACACCAGATACTCACTTGGTAAAATATACAGTCTAAACGAAGTAGTCCAAGAGATCATTTTCGTTAAATAAACTTATTTCACTTCTAACACCCAGTAATAACACAGCATCACACAATAAATCACTCCCTCTTTAAAAATAGATGTACTCTCTTTTTGTAGAAGCTATGTCAAAAAAGCACGATAAGGCTATAGATATTAAAAGCTGTGTAATACTATGTGAAATCAACACTATATAACAATAGGTTTAGAACAGTAGGTTTTTAACTGTATTAAACTACATGCAATACAGTAACAAGTGACACAAAGAGCACTTTAAACACATGCAATTGATATTTTATACAGATTCATGAACCATTTCATATTCTAACAATTTTATTCTCAAATATTTGTTAATCATTATACTATATACTTGTGCTATGCACCTTAAACTATAAATTGCAATCTACTTTCACGAATGAGCCAATTTTCAGGATATGTGACAATGTTAAATTAATATAAAATTTAGTTTCTCACTTTTAACATCCTTATAACTATATTAGTTCCAAACTACTCTTGAATATTTGTATATAATTGATAGCTCAGAACTCTAAAAATGCTACATTTCTTGAGAATTACTCATCAATTATACCATTACATCAAATTTTTTTTCACAAAGAATTCTCAGAAGTCTCTAAAACAGTAGCTTCTTTGACAGTGAAATGTACAAAATAAATGACATGTCAACAAGTAAATTAGCATTCCCTTTCTGACCAGCTGAGTCATGTTTCCTTTACAACATCCCCAGTCCCATGATACAAAATAATAATAATCTAAAAGACCTCATTAAATGATCAATGTATTGACATAATCTCTGTAAGGAGACATACAGTGTTTTAACTGATCCCTGAATCCATTAAATAGAATATTAACCCCAAACCTCCAAAATATATTCTAAGAAAACATCTACTTTATTCATTAATGAATTTTCTTTAGGGTGTTGATAATAGCACATAAAAAAATTTGAAAGTTTTTGAATTTATCCAAAGGTGAAAGAAATTCCGCTTTTACTAAAGACTTCAGACAAACAATAACATAGCAAAAGTTACAATAGATAAGTTAAACCATGTTTACTTACCAAGAAACTTCCAAAGGCTGAATTAAATATCGCAGCTGCCTACAGAGAAAATAAATGGGGGGAAAATCTCACTGAAAGTAAATAGGAATTGGGAAAGCAAAGATTATCATTCTCCCTTCCCCACTATTCAAACCTTACAGCACCAACCCTGTAAAGCTATGTGACTCACTGCTTAGGAAAATTGCCAGTGGCCTGTAGTTTACTATGACAGATGAGCTGCAGCTCAGGAATTCATAAATAACAGGTCTGAAAAGCAGGTGAAAAAGGTTTGCCATGAGATGCTTTGAGCCTATGTGACAGTACCAAAAGAATCATCACCAATAGTAAATCAAAATCTTGTTGTTATTGATTTTGCTGCTAGGCTTAGAACAATCAGAGGTTGATTTATTCATCAAAAAATTCATACTACTGCAAGAAGGAACAAGAATTTTAAAGAAAACATTCATTGGTCCCGTCAGCAAGCAAGTGCCATACACTATAACCACAAGGTGAGATATGTTACTCTCTTATAAAACACATCAGCAATCTGAACAATGCAGTCAAGACCAAAAGAGCTATTGCTAATGTCATTACTGCGAAGGTGGTTAATGAGCAAGAAAAACTTTAATTTAGTGCTCAAAATTCAAAGAAGAAATACTTGACTTTGTGCTTACCTAAACATCCACGAAAAGCACAGTAAATGCAAGATCACTCTTAACTTTAAATCAAGCGCTACATGCCGTGAAGCTACACCACAGTCCTGAAACCTTCTCACATTACCCCAGAAAGGAGAAAAGCTTGTACCACATCCAATTTGATGAAAAAAAAAATTAGAGCGAGGGAAAATTTAGGAAAAGGGAAAAGGAGGGGGTAGAGAAAACCTGTTTAAATCTCCAGCAGATCCACAGAAGAATTAAATTAATCATCATGGACATTAGCCACCCCAGTGTGGAAAAGAAGATGTCAGTAAGTTTGAATAAAGTCCAAAGCCAGGCTAGGAGCTGTAGATGAAAATGCCTTTTGCTCCAGAAGAGGATGCAATAAGAGTGAATGGGTAATGAGAGCCCTGGCTCCAGAGAGCTTGGCTCTCCTATTCCAGTTCATAATTAATTCAAAGCTTTGATAATTTCATTAGATTTCTCCTTTGCTGGCCCTATCAATAAAAGATGGCACTGGACCACAGCTCCTCTGTGGCATAAACATAGGCACAGGCACAGACCAGGGAAACCTTGCTGCCTGATGGGGACAATAGCATATGGTGTTCTGTGTTGTACTGGAAGCAGTGGAAAATTAAACATAATTTTTTAAAAAGCACAATTCAGCTATTACAGATGACAACTGTAAACTATAGTAGCACTTTTAACATATCTTCTTGGAATCCCATTATGGATGATTCCAGGAAAGTTTTATGTATAGTGAAAAATAAAAGAATATAAATGAGTGATTTTTGATCAGACCAATATGAAATACTGCATTCCTACAACACCCCCTACCACCAAACAATCTTCCTATCTAAACCCTATATTGTGCTTAAAATGGACTTCTCTTTATTTTTTGGCAAAGAAATGAAGTCCTCCCCTTTGAGCATCTCTTTTCCAAATCATTTCCATCCAATGCTTTTCACTAACCTTAGATAACTAATAGGTCTGTGCAGCACTCAAAGAAACATGAACTCTCAGAAGAGACTAGAAAGTCAGAGAAAAATAATTACTAAATACTACTCACAAGGTCAAGTTACTATATCCCCAATCTGTTCTCTTTTGTAACCCAGACACAAGTAGCATGTTTTATACACATTGGATATGATGGTGGTATCAACGATGGCAAATCTTAGGAACCCAAAGATGCTAGATCAATTCCTCTCTCCTCCCCTCACCTTTCTTCTCCTCCCCTCTCCTCACTCTGTACTGGGGATTGAACCCATGACCTCACACTGTTTACATGCCACACCTTTTTCATTTTTTTAAGGCAGGACCTCACTAAGTCACTAAATTACTCAGGGTGGCTTTGAACGTGTGATTATCCTACCTCAGCCTCTATGCCTGGCTTTTTAGTTGTTTTCTGACAGCACTGATGGATTTGAACTTCCTCAGCTATAGCATCTTCTCACATGGCAAATTCTGGCAGATTTTTGTGAAACGGTTGGTTGTGGTTCTGCTAAATCACACACTGAATGAAAAATCTTGGGCCTAATTAAGCAGACTGCTAAATTAACAGTTGGCTGGAAAACTGGGTCAGTTCTATCAATAGTTATAGCAAAGAGTAATGGCAAATATTTATGCTATTGACATACAAAAGACAAGGCATGTCTTTTGACTTTATATGATGTATAAGTCCTCTACCAACAGGTTTCTCAAATTCTCTGCTCACTTACATTTTCACAACACTGAATTACTTACAATTCCCTCATGTTCATTATGCCATCTCCTTGCTTTCTGTTCTGAAATGCCCTTTTTCCTCCTCTACTGGAGTAATTCTCACTTAGCAACTCATCATGGGTTTTCAATCACTTCCCTGGCCTCATAGCTTAGCGTGCGCGCGCGCACACACACACACACACACACACACACTTAGACATACAGTGGATGAGGTTTTCTGCAATGCACTTTTCACCCTACATGGAAATGACTTCCTTACCTCACTACAGTGAAAAGTCTCCTAAGGAAGCAATTTATTAAAGCTTATCTTGAACACAGACATGTTTTTAACTGAGTTACTGAAAATCAGTAGGATTGCCTGAAGTGTCCAAAGTCTGCCCCTTCTACTAAGCTGTTCCATGTTGGGTAGAATCCAAGCACTGGCAGGCATAGGACCCTAGATGGCACACATAATAACAAACCAAACGCAATGGGAGGAAACTTATACTTCAGTCTCCCAGCTAATCTAATAACCTTTTTCACAACATCCTGCTTTACTTCCTTCAAAATGCCCCAAATTTTCTATTATGATGTAGTTAGATAAGTATGTTTAACATAATGTTTGGAATTTAGCACTACATACAGTGATTTGTTTAAGTAAAATTCAGAATATAACAGAACATTCTACAATTATGAAAAGATAATCCACATATACTACTGTGAATGGCAACAAAGTAAGCCATCTGAAATGAAAAGGAGCAAGTTTTACCAGGCAGGGTGGCACAGGCTGTAATTCCAGCACTTGAGAGGCCGAGGCTTGTGACTGCATGTTCAAGGTCAGCCTGGACAACTTAGCAACTTAGTGAGAACTTGTCTCAAAATAAAGAAAGAATATGCATATTCTCTTTTTCTGAAAGCAATCACCAGAACACTCTTAGTTATGATTAAATGTGTTGAAAGATATTGGATGGGATTGTTTTTATATTTTATTTTGTCTTGACTTTTTAATTTTAATATTACATCTTTTTATATTTTAATAAGAATTATTAGGGCATAAAAATGTTGAGCTTTTTTCCTTTCGAATCCCTTTGTGTAAAAATAATATTTTAAGGCAACTTTAAAGTTTGAATTTCAACTTTTCATAGTCATGATGTCTTCATGTATCTTGTTGGTTTACACAACATGGAGGGTAAGAAACCCTTTGGGCACATTACAGCAAGCAGGCATTTTCTGGGAGCGTTAATGCAGCATAAACATTTGGTTTTTAAAACAAAACTTCTAGTATTGTTTTTGTATTAAACAAACTTGGCTACAGAGAAAACAAACTTCATAAAATGAGATTAACCTTGAGCCATTAAGATAGTTTGTTCTAAAGTAGGATCTGAAGGTTATAAAACCAGATTCTCTTTGGATATGACTTTTCCTCCTTTCTGCTTTCTGGAAGCCATACCTGGGTTAGTCCCCAGCCTGCGCCACTACTACAAGGTGGTGGAACCATTTGGATGTGGGATATTGTGACTAGGGGAAACTTCTTCTTCCTCTTCTTTTTTCTCTTTCTCTTCCTGTCCTCATTGTCATTCTCATTTTCTTCTTCTGCCTCTGCCTCTCTCTCTCTCTCTCTCTCTCTCTCTCTCTCTCTCTCATTTTCCTGGCCACCATGAGCTAAACATCATTTTGGCCACATGTTCCCTCCATGAGGCATTGCAGCGCCACAAGCCCAAAGCCACAGCGCCAATCAAACATCAAGTGAAAAAACTGAAATCTTGTGAAACAATAAAACTTCCCTTATTTTAAGTTGCTTTTCTAAGATATTTTGTTAAGTGACACAAAGCTTACTGACATAGTAATTATCTCCCTTGCTAGAAACAATTTTAAAATCTATTCAACTCCTAGAATGCTGTATTACAATAAAAATGTTTTCTATTTTGTTTTAGGTTGTGTCCTTGGTACCTATAGCAGCACTGGTTCATAAGTACACTTTTTATAAACATTGCTAGAGCAAAGAATGGATGAATGAATGGATACATAAATACTTCTTGTGCTAAATGAATGTCCTACCCAAAAATGTCTTCATTATTAACTCAGGAATCTCATCTACAAGGTGTGTAATTAGATTTATTATATTTAATAATTAGATCAATGCTAACTTAAAATTTTCATATTATGGTAGTTTTTTAATAGTGAGATGATTGCTTCCATTATATTGTGTATTTTTAGATAATATTTCCCTATCAACCCAGTTTTACCCAATATAAGGTATTTTACTAATGCTTTATTATATATTGTATAATATAACTTTATTAAATTACTTGGGGAAATTGAGCAAGTTCAATAGTAAATTAGTTTTTTCATAACCTACTTGCAATTATTTAAAATTATAAGGTAAATTTTTTTAAAAACCTGGAAACAGTGAGGATGGAAAATTTTCTAACTCAAAGATCAATCATTTCCATTGCTGAATGGCATCAAATATTATGAAGTTCTTCCTCACCATAAGCCAGACATTTGGGGGGACTCCCGGTAAATGCTGCACCCTGACCATGTTCTCCACGCCACAGTAACACAAGTATCCTAATCCCCTGTTAAAGTGTATTTCAAATGTAAGTACAACTACTGCTTTAATCTATCAAGTCATATAAAACTATATCAAACATTTTCTTAATGCTGACCCAATGTCTCAGTTTAAAAAACCCATTGTTTATATTAGGTCTGAATAATTTATTGCAGGCTAATTTACTAATCTACTGGTTTTTGCAGTTGAAAAACCCAATTTGCAGTTAAATCACAAAGAAATGTCTATCAAATTATTAAAATTGGATATTTATGGTTATCTCTGAATTTCTAAGGAGAATGTGTGGCAAATGCCTCCCAGTACTTACAAAAAGACACCAAATTGGGCCAGGGAACACACTCACACTCACCCTCCCGTCTGTACAATGAAGATAGGAGAAACTGCAGAGAAGCAAGAATTGTAATGCTGCCTCATGCAAATGCTTTACTGAAGGAAAAATTCCATGCTGGGCTGTGACGGGAGCAGGGGTACATGCTATAAGCCTGCTTAAAACATACTGATACCTTCCTTAGAACAGGGTGGCAGGGAGAATAGGCATGTGTAAGGACTGTGAATGACAGATAGGTATGCAGTGACCCGAAATAGCAAAAATGGGAGGCTGATTCAAAGGGACCACAAAGGTAGGGCAAAGAGGAAGGGAAGATTTGGACAAAAACGAGGCAAGGTTCAACTAATTCCATATGAACCAAGAAGATGCCTCAGTGGACTGCATTAGAACTTCATTTGTTTTTGAGAGACCAAACCCAGCAATAAGAGGCTAACAGGATGTGATGTGGGGCAGGGGCTCACAGTATACTCTAAAGAACACTCTCCCCTAGCCCTAGCAAAGAGAGTGTGACAGTTAGGTTTCCACCACTGTGACAAAACATCAGACATAAACAACTTGAGAGAAGAAAACATTTGGTGTAGCTCACAGTTTCAGAGGTTTAAACTCATGGTGAGTTAGTATCACCGCCTGTGATGAGGTTAAACACCATAGTGAGAAGCATGTGGTGGAGAAAAGCTACTTATGTCAGGGTAGACAGGAAGCAAGAAGAAAGCAAAAAAGGGGTTGGGGGCCCAGTATCCCCCCCCCAAGGCACACCCCTAACAACCTAGCTCCCCTCCATTGAGCCCCACCTCCTAAAGGCTCCATCCCCTCCAAACCTTGCCTCAGGGTAGGGAAAACATTTAGCATATGGGCCATTGGGAAACTTTCAACACCCAAACCGCAACATGGAGTAAGCACTGGACATGTGTGTGACAGAGGACACTGAGGCCCCTACTACAGCAGCACCAGTAAGACACAGCTGCCCCACTCCCATCCCCGTGCACATCCCACCTTGAGTCTACAGAGGTCAGAGGGAGGAAAGGCAAAAACAGTAAAACAAAAAAACAAACAAATAAATAATGAAACACACCATGCTTACTCCTCAAAAGGCTGATTTTAAAATTTGTAGTATTATCTGTAAATATGTTCCCTAACTAAAAAGTATGAGTTTCTATACTTCAAAAATACAGATTAGGCCTAGCTTAAGAAAGAGGGAATTTAAAGTTTTTAATTAAATTGCTCCGCATGATGGATTATTTAATGCCTAAAGTTAATCCTAATTAGTAAACATATGACTTGGGAAGACACTGACAAAATAGTATGTTAAGTAGGTAACTGAGCTAAAGCAAAACAAAACAAAGTAACAGGTGCCAGATTTCAGGTGTGACAAAGTGCACAAGACGATTCTTCAGGCGCAGCAGGAGGAAAGAAGCACCAGGTACCACCACGGGGGCCTGGGCTGAGCCACCTGCATAAAGCAGAGGGCACGGCCGGAAGGACCGCAAGAGCACATGGGAAGTGCAAGGTGCAAGGAACGCGTGGACTGCGTGGAGGGTGGACACAGGAGCTGAGCTTACCCTCCCGGTGTGAGTCAAGAATCCTAAGCTATTGCTAAAGAATAGAAAAATGGGTCAAGGACCTGAAGAATTCCGGAGACCCCAAAGAAGCAATGCCAGACTTCTCCTTGAGGTCCTTTGGATAACCTACAACAAAGTGCATTCTTATGTAACAGCCCTTACTTACTGTAGAGAGCGCTGCGAACGACAGCAGAAAGCTGGTCTAAGACGCGTGCTGTTTCTAAGCAGTGAGGAAAGGAGGCGCCAGGGGCTTGCTCACCATCCGTAACAGGAACAGCACCAGGCAGGTCAAAGACCTCAGTGGGAAAGGCAAACTTAACAACTTTTAGAAGGTAGAAGCGTCTCAGAAAAGCAAGCAGGTTTTAAACAGGATACGAAAAGTACAGATGAAACAGGAGTGCAAGATGGGGACTGGGGGTGCGGGGGTGGCTACCAGCAGGGCCCCCTCTTCCGGCCCAGGGCAGTGCCCCTGTGCTGCGGCCCCAAGGGCTCACCGGAGATGCCACTGTAACAGCATCGGGCCACAGCAAACGCCAGCAGGCCTGACCTCCAGGCATCTTCGGATATGAGAAAAATAAGCCCCTGCTTGTTTATGCCACTTTCAGTCTGATTTTCTACTCCTTGAAGCCGAACTGGCGCAACCATGACTCCAAAGAAGGGAGAAAATAATTCAGGACTAATCGTTTTCCCTCTACGACAAAAATCTGAGTGGGCGCTATCAAGTTTTATTTAGCAAAATCTCTGGCTCCCGTTGCCTATGGCAAAATAAGGAAAAAACAGGCAAAACAAGGAGATGACAATTGACCCTAGGTCATCACTGTCAGATAGTAAAGCCCGAACAGTTCCTCGTCCACGTGAGGCTCTCATCACGTGACCATGTATTCCCAGGACAGAGAACCAGCCTCGATACTCGTTTGCTTTCTTTTTTTAAAAAAACGTTTTATTCATACATGTGCAGTACATGATGCCACATTCACCTGGAGAGTTGGAGCACACACACAGTGCGTCTTAATTATTCTTTCATGCCCCCCATCCTCCCCACCTCCTCCTTCTATCTCTTGGCCCTCATCCCTCTTGCAAAAGATCTATCTCCGTTTCTCATTATCTTTCTTTTATTTGCCCTTCAATTTATTTACTTTGGGCTTCTCTTACAATAAAGCCATGCAATATTTCAGTGTGTTTCTGTGTAACTTATTATATTTAATATTACGCTCTTAAGGTGCATCTATTTTTCTACAAATGACACAAGTGCATAGTAATGCACTTTATGGCATAGTAGTACTCCAAAATGTTTTTATTCATTTTAAATTCAGCTTAAAAAACACATAAACACTTAAAACATCAGAGACTGAATTCCAATTCCTGATCCTTAATTAAATATCAGAATACAAAAATTTTTATTTGTAACTCTCAAAAATGCTATATAGAAAAGTAGAAAAAAGTTCATTGTTTTCAAAGACAATTATATTCACATTAGCAACTTTTGCTAGTTTTGTTACCACAAGAACTATTTTCACTGTAAAACTATGTAATAAATGAAATTTCAAGTATACATTTATGTATTTGCATCACATAAGTACTATTTAGCAATACTACAGGCTATCGAGAGGATATCAATTAAAATGAGTTTATGCACTATGTTTAATAATAAAGGTGCACCTTTCATTTATGCATATCATTGTATTGGAAGAGCAATGGCTAAATATTAGAATGCTATTTTAAAACTATAATCGAATATGTCTTTTCAACAGAAATCTTAGTAAAGATTATTTACCTCTACCAGGCAATTTGAAACAATTCCTTGTTTCAAAAAATATCTCACCAATGGAAAGAAACACAAGTTTAGGATAAATGGTTAACATCCAGCTGTTTTTCTAAGAAGAAGCTACATCTCCTGCCTATTTCTACAGGTCCATTTCTTGATACCAGCATGGAAACATTACTTACTATCCTTGATCTTAAGGTGAATGGAGTTGCTATTCTTATTTGTAACTATTCATCTCAATTCGGGCAAGCAAAAAATATATTCGAGTTACTGTTTCCGGGTGCTAAATTGAATCAGGTGTCCTCTCCTCTTAAGAAAATTAAGTTGCTTTTGTGCGAGCATGTTTTAATGAGAACAGAGCCCGCCGACAGTGATAAATGGGAACGACCCCAGAGAGAGCACAGAAGCAGGACAATATGCGCACGTTACAGTCTTGCAGCCTATTTTTCACTGACTATTCTGAATGACTTCGCTGTTTCTTAAGGGGCCTATTAATCTCAAATTTAGTTATTACACAACGTTTATTTGAACATATATTCTGCGAATGATGACAGTTAATAAAGGAAATCTTTCACAAGCTGTATTTTTACATATTGTTCCAACCACGGCTCCCAGTCATTTGATGGTATTGATGGAGTAACCTACATTGTGCTGAAGCTTTTTTTTAAAGGCACATATATTCAGATTCTTTTCTAAGCACATGGGGACTCTTAAATAACCGTTAAAATGCATGCAAAAATTCCTAGTACAAAATGGTAAAAGGACATCTTAACTGTTCAACAAAAATTGTTTGATGTGCAAACTGACCCTTCTAAGACAAATGTGTCACCTTTTAACACTTTTAAAGGCTCGATGCCTAATATGCAATAGTTCTTGCATACCAATCTACATTTTCACAATATGCACAGAGTGGGAGAGAGAGTAAAATCAATTTTCTTGAGGTGCAAAAAAGAATCAAGTAATATTGCTGCTTTTTTTCTCCTTGGTATGCTTTACTGACAAAATAGTATGTACTTAAAATAGTAGTGTCTATATTTCATGTTTCTAGCAGCATAACAAGCTTAAAGGTATTACTTCTGCATTTTCTTAAAAACCTATTTATCAACTGAAATAAATACATTGATTCAAGTTGATTCAAGTTCTGATACCTGGAAAAGTTTTTTACCTCGTGTTACTGGATAATGACAACAAAATTTAAAGACATTAATGAAAAATATATATACCAGTTTCACACTTTTAAATCTGATTTATCATTGAGGTGAATATGGATTTAAGAAAATGTTTTTTATTTTTGCCCTTCTACCATCTTGGACTTTCAGAGTATTCAATTTCAATGAAATTCTTCTATTTTATCAAGAAAGAGAACTCCAGAAAGGCAAAGAGTCTTTCCCAAAGTCAGATGCATGGCAGTAATGTCAGAATGAAACTTATCTCCAGAGAAACCCAGTACCCTATGTATTAGATACGCGACCTAGTTCACATATATTATTCTAAACAAGCATTTGTAGATATATACTAGAAAAAAGGAATTGCCAAAACTCTAACAGCGGTTACGGTGGGGTAATGAGATATGGATGTTTCTTCCCTTTGTGCTTTACCTTGATTTCTGTACTGATTATATGTTTAGCAGTGAAAAGGAAGCATATAATAAATGTTAGACGTTAAGTTTATTTAGAATTCTAGAGGCTCTCTCTTTAATCTGTAGGCAAACCTGGAATAAAGCTACGTACATATTAGGTGCTCTATCAATGTCTGACTAAATATTGGCTGAATTGAGGGTAATAACAAGAAGAGACTACCTGAAGAGTCTTCTTTACTTCATTATCAGTAACTACTCAGAGTAACACACTATGGGTATCACCAGGATACCAGCTCCTACATTGAAAAAATATATAACTTACTTATATATAGCTTATTAAATTTTCTAAATATCAAAGAGTAAAATGCTTGTACTAATACTTGACATTACATCCTCTTAAAAAGACCAATTTCTCAATAATCCCGAAATTTAATTTTTCTTAATCTCCTGGGTTGCCTTATTGTGTCATGAAGGAAACAAATACTCCTAACTGCTCAATCATTCAATATAATTTCTTAAGTCATTTATTGTCAGGGACTCAGAACGCAAAAATAAGAACCATAGTTTAGGACTAGATGACAGACATTACAATACCTTAATATTAAGTGCTATCAAAGAGTTGTGGCAGTCCAGAAATAACTAAAATTTCCTTTAGAACGGGCTTTTACCAATACCTCCTAGTGCTATACAACTGCATTTTGCTGATCAATTAATGGAAGCTCTGTTTAAAGCCAACACATGGAATAAGCTCTCACACCAGGACAGAAACTGCCGGAGAATTCCCCTAACGCTTTGTTTAGAAGGGCATCCACAAAACCTAAGTGACAACTTGTGTCAAAGTATCTAATGGTTCTTACAAATCGTAGACTCTACCTACCTACCTCTGTTATTTCTACTCTTTCCCATCCATTAGGTCTGGCAATCTCAGAGCTTCTTAAGAGGAAAATGGATCAATCCCTCAGCAGTAACTCTTACCAGCTTTTCATAAGCAATAAAAACAGCTTTCCTACCATCTTCTGGGAAATAATTTACTATAGAACCACAAAGCTGCAATGAACTTCTGCAGATCATCTAATCAAGACATTTTTCTCAAAAGAAAAATTTGATGGAATCACCAACAAACAATGTCTGCATATCCAATTTTTGTATCTCCAACACCAACTTTTGATTCGAGGTCATTTTCTCATGTTATGACCCCTGAAAAATTTAAGAAGCACTGTGTTGCTGCCATTACAAGCATTCTGCTAGTAAACATTTAACAACTGGCTGTCAGGACGGGGGCTGAAGGAAACAACAGTTTGTGAGGTGTGCTGATTTGCATGATGTAAAACTCCTACCATAGTCAATTTCAAACTACAAACGTGATGTCACTGTGCAAGAAGATAGGAAAGATGGCTTACTTCCAAAAACATAAGAAATTAGAAAAAAGAAGCAAGTGAAAAGCAAAATAAGCATCGGAAGGAAACAATAGGGGCAGAAACTAAGGAAATAAAACACAGGAAACAAGAAGAAATCCATGAAATCAAAAGCTGGTTCTCTGTCAAATTAATAAAACTGGTATGTATTGTTTAAAACAAAAATTAGTGATTTTTTTTTCCCTGTAAAAGGTCACTGTTAGCTTTAATCCAACTGGTCTAACCTAAATTGGGTATAACCCACTATAATTCTGATGCTAACAACCTGGAGTTAGTGTCATGAGTTAAAGGTTCAATCTCCCAGAAGACTGTCCTTTGAGTTCCTAGGCTACCCATACTTTTGATCAACTTGGCTATAAATTCAGGAGTTCCTATGATCCTTAAGTTCAATAATTAGTAGAATCATTTGTAGGACTCACTGAAAATGCTACACTTGTAATTTTGTTAACAAGGGTCCATATCAGCTGTAGTGGGAGACTAGAATTCTAGTAGTGGGAGACAGAGGCAGAAAGGTCACAAGTTTGAGCCCAGCCTGGGCAACTTGACAACTTAGCAAGACTCTGTATCAAAATAAAAGAAGCTGAGGATACAGCTCAGTGAGAAGGCCCTGATCCTCAGTAAGGCAAAAAAATAAGACAAGGGGTCAGGTGTGGCGTGAGGATATACACAGGGCAAGGTCAAAGAAGGAACAGATCCCATGCCCTCTCTTCCTGGAGCCAGAGATCAATGTGTTTATCAACCAGGAAATAATGAGCTTCCATGTCCTGAGTTTTTACATGGGGCCTAATTCTGTAGGCATAATTGATTAAATTGGTGATCACAGTAACTAAACTCAATGTCTACCCCTTCCCTTTTCCTAGGGAAAGTTCTAACCTGGGGGCACCAGATGTGATTTTCCTGAAGGCCAGGCCCCATCCTGAAGGACCCACCTCAGGACACTTAATTAGGACAACAAAGACACTTCCAAGCATTCAGAAAGTTCCAAAGGCTTGAAAATCTGTGCCAAGAACCTAGACAAGGACTGCATATCATTTTTTACTATATGACAGTCACATAATAAATATATTACGCTTTGTGGCCCATATGGTCACAAACATTCAACCCTTTTGGTGTTAAATACAGAAGCAGCCATGGGTAATGCATAAATGAGTAAGTGTCTGTGTTTCAAAAAAACTTATCTGTCTATGGACACTATAATTTGATTTTTAGTTTTCAAGTCATGAGGTTTTATCCTTTTTTTATTTTCTCCAACCATTAAACAAATGTGAAAATCATTTTAAACTCACATACCACACAGCAACATGCAGCAAGCCTGAGATGCCTTGAAGCCACATTTATCTATATTTACTTTTGATGATGACATTAGAGTGGGCATCACAGTATCCTTTAGGTTATTTAGAAGACAATAATAGGAACATTACACCCCCAAATTTGAAAACTTACATGAAACAAATTCCTTGAAAGACACAACCTATTAAAGCACTCTCAGAAAAAGAGTAAATGACCTAAATAACCTGTCATATAAAAGACACTGAGTGTATGTTTAAAAAATCTTTCCCAAAAGCAATCTCCAGGAATAAATGGCTTCATTGGTGAATGCTATCAAACATTTAAAGAAAAAACATTAATTTTGTGAAAATTTACCCATAAAATACTAAAGGATAGAAAAATTCTCCAATCATTGTATGAAATTAGCATTAGTCTGATACCAAAACCAGATTAAAACACCGTAGAAAACTGCCAGCCATGCAATAATGACATGCACAATAATGCTAACAAATTATACAAAATTTATACTTAAAAATCCTCACAAGATTGAGAAAAATTTTAAATCAAGAGATAACAGATTAGAGACCTCAATATTAAAGTATCATAAAGTAAAAATTATTAAAATATGTCAAACTTTTTTCATATTGATCTACAGATTCAATGTAAGCCTCTGACGAAAATTTGGACCAACTAGAACTATCTTACATTGCTGTTATGGATACAAAATGATATTCACACCATAGAAAAGTTTGGCAGTTTGTTTAAAAGTTGTAATCAATAAAAAAGTATATAATTAATCATTTGACCTGATCATCTCACCACTAGGTATTTCCCAATAACTGATCTTCATACAGTCACACAAAAAGATCTATTTAAATGGTCAGCTTTATTTGTAAAGGCCCCAAAATGGAAAATACCCAAATGTTCATCAATTGGCTGATGGATAAACAAATTATAATACAATGGAAGAGTACCCAGCAATAAAAAAGAATGAACTACCAATATATGCAACAACGTAAATGCCTCACCAAAACATTAATGCTAAGTAGACAAATGCAAAAGATTAGAACTCAGCGCTACATTTGTAATTTGTAAACATGGTTTTTTAACTCAGTATTTCCAATGATAATATAATGTAAACACTTAAATATTACCTGAACTTATCGGACATTCAAAAAAGATATCTTTATTTTATACTTAAAGATGATAAAGATTTCATATTTAATAGTTTTATTTTAAAATCATCATAGAGGCACTTGAGAAATACTAGAAAAAGCACTAATGATGAAGTCAGAAGACCTGGACGCAAAACAACTTGATCCCATATTCAGTTGCAAAAATTCACTAAATCTAAATTTATTGTACATGGAAATAATATCAACTTCATAAAAGTTTTGACAAGATTAAATGAGATGATAAACATAAAGTTTATGCTACAAAATACCGTGAAAAGAAGGCCCAATAACCTCGCTTGCTTTTTTTTTTTTGGTACTGGGAATTGAACTTAGGACCTTGCCCAGGCAGGCACTGTGCCATTGAGCTGTATCCCCAGCACTAAACTCACTTTCTTAATTTAAAATTTGGGTTTTTTCATAGTAAAGCCTAACTGTATTATTCATAAATTACTATGAAATGTTGATTTTTTTTTAAAAAAAAAGCAAGTTTACTTTAAGAGAACTTACTCCTAGATCATTTACCTCTGAATAATATGGATCTTCTCTTTTTCTTCATCCTAGTTTTTAAAGAGCATAGAATACAGCAATTCTTTTATGCTCTATAAAATCACAGCTGAGCTGGTTTAAGAAGAAACTCCAAAGTGTTACATTCAACAAAATGTAATTCATATTTCCTACAAATAACAAAGTAATATGGAAAGAAGCATGTAAGAATGTTAGAGAATACCTTCAATTTCCTCATTTTACACACAAGGGTTGGCCCGCAGCTCAACTTGTTTGAGATCCCATAATGTCTGATGGTAGCTACATCAGAATTACATGGAAGAGCTCCCATACTCTCTTTTTTCTCCAAGCCACTGATCTTTATTTAACTCTAATATACTACGTGCATTAGATATGGATATCAAAAGCATATGACATGAGAATCATACAGGAACACCAAAAAGAAAACACCAGTCAGCGAGCAGCGGAGCACTGAGCCGACTTCACGCATGTACTAAGCGTGTCCTTCTGCTGGTGACTGAGGTATATTAGCTTAGTGAGCCATGCAATAGCTGTAGCACTACAACTAATGGACTGCCAAGAGATGATTTAATAAAGGGGCCCAGCTGAACAACAGCATGTAACTTAACTCTGACAACCTGAGGCTTTCTTCTGGTGGAACATTTTATGAGAAGACACTCTCAGAAGGTTTCACTGTAGCAACAGCAGTCTAAGCATTCTTATATAAGTTCAGATTCTCCCAGATGTTAAGGTATGATCAGAAAAACACTTAGGATCTTGTCCCCAGATCCTTTTCCAGGCACCATTTGTAACATGATTAGAGATCTAGTTAACTAATCCAGCAACTGCAGCGTGCCTTTCTTGTAGTTAAATAGAGAGAGCAACTTCTCAACTTTTTAAATGCTGCCTCTAAATTTTACTCTGAAATGTGAGAAACAGAAATGGGAGAGAGACTGAAATAAAAATATTTATTAACTACACATTTCTATAAGATACAGATTCCTCATCTTCACAGCATGGACTAGCTTGGAACAGAGATGAGAAAACAAGTAGTGTATGGACAGAAAAATCACCAAATGAACAAAGTTCTTAAAAAATAGCAATGTGTTCCCTTACCCACTACTTGTGATAGAAAGCACAAAAGTCAAATGACGCTAAACTCAGATATATCATTCATTTTTAAGAATGTTCATTTTCTTACAAAGCAAAGATAGTGCTTCCCTCTGAATTCACTAAGAGCAGTATTTTAGGACTTTTGAAGTTTTTTTAAAAAAATTATCTATTAATACCCTAACCCACAAAGTATTAAACAGTCAGCTGGTAACTTACACAAATCGCCGTTCATATTCTCATCCATATCCTCTCTGGCCCTGTCTTCCCCGCCCCAGAGATGTCTGCACCACGAAACAGGTTTATGAAGTAAACCAGTACTTTCTAAACATAGGAAAATAAAGAAGTAACTTAAAAAATAATAATCTGCTTTTAAAACTGTGTTTTAAATTACCTTAGAACTGACCTATGATTTAAAACTTATTCCTAGGGAAATTTATGAATAAAACAGTCTAGGTATAATGGTATTCTGATAGTTTTTTGAAAAATTTAATCCAAAATCAAATCATTAAACACTTCATTTGCCCAGTCCCTGCAAGATGGGGCTGCCTAATACTTTTTAAAAACTTAAATCTCTGGTTTTAGGGTGTTTTAAGTACTGTATTGGGAGGGGGGAGACATTTGCATTTTTCCACGGCTATTCTTTATTTCCATTAATCCACGGGAGACTTCATGGAAAAGCATAACTTACATATAAATTGCTTGTGCACAAAGTTCCTATTAAGTCTCATTACTCATAAAACACACCCTTGCCAAGGAGACTGTAGATAACAGTTGGACTGAAAGATCTGTTAGGACTCTCCCCTCCCCGCACCCAGGCATTCTCTGCAAAGCGCTGAGCTAAATCCGTGGCCCTTAACGGAGGTCTTTATCAGGCACCAAGTGAGTGAACCTGGACTGAAAGACTCTTGAGAACATAAATAAGGTTTAGTCAAACCATCCCTCCTTCTCTAGCTACAATTAGCTTCAGTTCAGAATCCAAACAGTGAACAACATAACTTAAGCTTTTCCTAAGATGTTCTTTAACCTGCTTCTTCTGCTTCTCTTATATATTTTGTTCATCTGAAAGCTGAAAGGTTTACATATTTTAGAAAAAAAGTGTGGATGCTTTTAAAAAATGTATTCCCTTAACTATTCCTTACATCTTTCTAATCCCCAACTCACTTAATTAAATTCAATGTGAATTTAAATTGCAATTAACATCTTTTGAGGGATTACATGTTCTAATCACAATTATGCAGTGAATATTTGAAACACATACATTTTGTTATATTATCTGAAATGCAAATTAGAATCCAAAAAAAAAAAGATGTTTAATAAAAATGTATAGTACTGAAGACTATTATGGACCCTAAGGGACTAGAAATGAGATTTAAAAGAGTAAAAGCACTGATACAAGTATAAAAACAAATTGCTTCACCTCCAAAACCCTGGAAGTGGCCCCACTTGGCTCTCATTTAACCTAGCTTCATCAGTTTAAAAATTACTTCCAAGAGGCTTTATTAATCAAACTGAATTTCATTTCTTTCTTCCTAGATCAGTAATGCAAAGTCTTAAGTGAGAGATGTTGCATACAATTCTGTAAGGTCAAGAGATAAAAATCTATTTTCTTGACCCAAGAATTTACAATGGAATGATTAACTTGATTTAACTTTTTCTTTCAAACTTGTATTTTATAAACAGAAGGAAAAAGCTGACCTTTATTAACCACTTTCTGTATTTCACACAGTAGTGTTATGGTTTGTGTCTAGATGTCCCCGCAAAGACTGATGCAGTTTTAGACAGGACTTTTTTGGAAGTGCCTGAATCCTGAGTGTAAGATTGATTGGTGGTACAAGCTGGGGTTGAGGGTGCTGGGATTAAGGGTAGGTTATTGTTGGATCGATATACTGATAGGATTGGCACTACCCTAAACTCAGTAGACACAATGTACAGGTCATAAAGCGTCTTGTCTCCTTCCCTTGCTTGCTTTTGCTGTCTTCTACCACCATGGACTGTTTCTCCTCTGTGACGCCACCCTGCCTTGAACCCAGCCAATTATGGACTGAAACCTCTATAAACTGTCAGCTAAATAAACCTTTCCTTCCTAAACTTTGGGTATTAGGTATTTGGTCTTGGAAGCAAAAGAAAAGTAACTAAAACTGTGTCATCCTCAAAATAACCTATGAGCTAGGTGTTATTTCATATTGTAGATGTAGACTATAAGGCTCAGAGAAGTTAAGTGGTTGGGAAAATAAAATTAAATGAATTGGTAGTGAAATCATGATTTGACTCTTTTTAAACACAGGCAGTCATCAGGTAAAAAGATAGTTTCATTCTGCAAAGGTACAATATTAGGAAGAAAACTTAGGACCGAGCACCCACTTTCAGTTTAACTATCCTCTCAAAAAGGCTGCTGGGATGTGGGAGACCCGAGAGTAAGAATGTATAGAAAGCTGCAAGAAGTGTTGATCTGGGGGCTTTTCTGACTCTTTCTGCAAAAAGTAAGAGCTTGCTGAAAGCCAGTTTACTTTGAGGTTTTCTCAGACAGTGCTGGGCTTTATCATACTTTATCGTAAATAGCTGGTGGATGTGTCCATCCCTAATTTCCTCTTGGTAAATTTTTTTCCTTGTCTTCAGGGTCTATTTGTGTACCCAGCAGATGGTTAGCTCCAAAACCAGGTTTCAGGAAATTGAGGCAAGTTCATGTCCTGCCTTTCATTCCTCTCTCCTGCCAGTTTCCTGTTAACTAATCTGTTTTCACACAAATTTGCCACAATACTTGGCCAGTAAACAGGGACTGGTTAGGCGACCTTTTGCTTTTTTCTCGCACTGTCAAGGGAGTCAGCACCAAGCTCTGTACCTGTCAACCCTGCAAAGTACTGTTAAATTTTTAAAAAGTTTTTCCTGTCCCTTAGCGTACTTTTTCTCATTTATCTACGATCCATGTGATTTGATTTAGCCTAATGTGACACAAGCCCCTATACAAGGACCAATATGGACAAGCTATGGTTTATATGTATTCCCCAAATTTAATGAGCTAGACCTTTAGGAGGTACTTGTGCCATGACTGCCCTGCTCTCATAAATGGAACAATCCACTCGTGGATTAATGGTTTACCACAAATGCAGCTAGCTCTGGCAGGCTCGCTCTCTGTCACCATATGGTCCTTGCTGCCATACTGTCAGATAAGAAAAATGCCCTCATCAGAAGCTGAGTGCATGCAGGCACCCTGCTCTTAAACCATTAGCTAAATAAACTTTAATTCTGTATAAATGGACAAAGTCTGTGGTACTCAGTTATAGCAACAGAAAACAGACAAAAACCCAGAGACTGGAAGGAGGTAAGAAGAGGAATATTCCAGTAGATAGTCTACCACCTAAAATAGCCATGCAGCTAGGAGAGGGCCATGGACTTAAGCTTATCTGCAAGCTTACCCCTCTGACAAATTTACTTAAGTCATTTTAAACCTCTGTGTCTTTGTCTCAACAATGGATATAATATTATACCTACTTATATAACTTGTGAGAATTAAATGATTCATATAAAACATTAGTACAATATGTACTTAATGAATATTACCTATCATTAACTAAATATGTCATCATCAGCATTATCATATTACTAAATGCTAAGAACCACTAGTCAATGTACAGAATTTCCGGTAAATCTGGAAACTTAGACAAATAAACATTTTAAGTTGGAAAGAAAGAAATGATGGACATTAGGATATGGGCAAGACTTTTAAAACCAAAGTATTTATTTTTTATAATACAATTCATTATGATTTTTAAACTGATAACTTGATATTTTCAATAGATTTTAGTAGGCCTACAAAAATACTCAACTTTTTTTTTTTAAGTCATCACTGGGGAGAAAACAAACCTGTTTAAAGCAGAGGATCCTCACAATTAGGAGTGTGGTTTGGAATCAAAGAATCATTCAGTGTTGGTCGTTTCCTAAACAGCAAAGCTGACAGGAGCAAAACCAGGACATCTCAGCCAGTGCAGAAGAGGGCAGAAACCAAACACTGTGGCAGAAATCAGCCTCTGTGGCGTGAAGTGTGCTTCCTAACTGAGTTATCATTTTGCCCGCTCTGACTTTCCCGGTCCCTCTGAAAAAATGTCAACAAGGGAAGGATGTACACAGCATGGTTGGTGGCGGAGACAGGAAAGCGGTCAGGAGGGGCAGGAGAAATTGGAAATTTAACTCAGTCTTTTCCGAGACGCTGAAAAGCACATAGAGAAGGCTTCCTTGAGAGCAGTATCAGTGTGAGGTAAGAGAAACCCAGGGACACTAAGATCTATGAACTCTGATCCTACTGGAATTTGAATACTATCATTAAAATTACCCCAAATATTTAGTCAGCAGGCATTTGTTAAATTCCCACAGTGTAAGTGGGAAAAATCATTTGTTTTGTTTTAACTTAAGATGTGATCCCTGTCCTTAAAAACCCACACAGAGAGCCTTGAGCCATAAACCATGAGCCAGAGATCCATGGTGGTGCATGTCTGTAATCCGAGAACTCCGGAGGCTGAAGTAGGAATATTGCAAGTTCAAGACCAGCCTGAACTGCATAGCAAGACCCTGTCTCAAAGACAAAAAAACCACACACAAAGACACACACACACAGACACACACAGACACACACACACACACACACACACACACACACAGGAGTACAGCATGTATCAAATCCAAAGCTAGTTGAAAGAAAATGAAGAACTCCTTTAAAGTCAGACTACCTCTAAAACTGCGTGATGGGCTTCTTAATGCAGATACTCCTCGTTTAAAGACCAAGTTTCATTCCTGCATCTAGGGTGTTAAACGAATCAGTCACAAAATAAGGAACTGTATATAGTATGTACATTACAATATTCAGAACAAAGAAATGGTTAAAGGAAATGCCAACTTGATAACTTTGCTTTAATTTGCATAACTGTGAGGTACAGTAAGGTATAACAACATAAACTGTACTGTACGATCACTAAAAATACAACACTGTATAAACCAGATGTACTGCACAAAAAAAGACTTTATGGAGGCTCTATAAATAAGACTTTAAAAAAAGAAAGACAGGTGGCTAGGCGGAGCAGTGAGTCGTTAAGTTCAAACAGCATGCCTCGATCTTAAGTTCACACAGGTAGGTAATTAAATGAGGAACTTTCATACGTGCAATGGCTATCTTTGGGGCAGATGTAAAACTACACGCAGCCAATAGCAACATGTGGTTTGCACTGGTTTGTGGAAGAACATGGGTGTAAAAAGTGTCATTCTTTAACTACTTCTCTACCTGTTTCATGGGCTTATTACTTTAATGTCTTTTCTCCAAAGTCTTAACAAGTATAGTTCAAATAATGCATTATTTTAAATACCACTATTGAAGAGTATCCTCTCTTTGATAGAACTCCCCTTTAAATTATCCTAGATCTATTTCTGATTCTGATATACAGACCTACATTAACATAAATGTCAATTTAAATTCTATGCATATATATAACATACATACATACACACCTGCATATATGTAGATAAACCCATACCATACGCCCCCATATATAACCAAATATGTAATATAAAGACATGTTATGAAAGATTTTACTATAGCTACAAAGAAGGATTGCTTAGCTAAAACTGATTCCTTTTCCTTTAGAGTCAAATGCTCAATTATCCTTCAGGAAGGAGTTTTCTCTCCATATAACACCAAGTACTTACCTCAAGCTTCAGGGAATTTTTCACTAGAGTATTAAAATGATTTTGTATGTTGTATTTTTAGTGAAAGCAGTCCTGTGTATTCATTTTAATCAGATGTGAAGTAACCATACTGCTAGCCTACGGAGTCCGCACCAGCTCCCAAATTCCTGCATTTGCTGATCTTGAGCATCTCTGTGAAATTCCTTCTTACTGTAAATCTACACAGCACTATGAATGCAGGCTGGTGTGGGCTGTGGAAACAGCTTGATAGGAGTAACTTCTCAATCTGCAGTGTTTGCCAGGCACTGTCTGCAGATATACTTTATTCCAAAGGCACAGTATTAATTAAGGATAGAACATGAAATAGTGCCCAACCATTTATTGTCATTTGAAGTTACAATTCCAGTCCTTTCCCCAAAATGTCTTTGCTCTTTCATGTACCCTTGAAACACAACTTCCTCCTGGACCATCTAAACATCTATACTTGTAATCCTACAGGTTGATTACAGTTTGACCCACGTTGTACCCACACTTTTTACTTCGCTGCATACACTACCCCTGATCAAAGGCCTCAGGGGTAACCCACTTTCAGGAACCCTCCTCTCTTTCAGGAGCTATTTCTCAATAAATCTTTTCTACTCTTAATCTCCACTGTTCATTAAAATTCATTCTCTGATTCTGGGAAACACAAACTTGACATACCTGACATCTAGCAGGTTGGGAAGTATGTCATTGAGATGAGGCCACTCAAATGTTCGCCTTTCAGTCATTTAGACTTTGAGGAAGAGCCAGACGTTTCACAGTGCTAGGTACGGTAAATAGGTGGGAGAGGCTAATCACAGTGTTTTCAGAACACGCATGTGCACTGCATGGCACTCAACAGCTGCATTCACTGTATTTTTGACCACACTTTGCAAAGGTAACTCACAAAAAAGGACTTTAGAACTGCTTCAGAGAGTGGCGAGAATGATGGGATGAGGTGCTCAAAGGATGACGGAGTATGGATGGCAAACTGTCTTTTACTCTAATACGATTTACTTAACTCACTACATATGCTATCCACATCTTATAGAACTATTAAGGAACATATCCTGCCATTTTATTTGAGGAGTCTTTAAGTCCTTTTAGGTTGAATTGTGTCTATCTAAATTAATTTTTCATGTCATTCCTAGTTGGTGAGGGTTGCTGGCACTAAAAAAAGAGGGGTATACTTTCAATTGAAAGCCTACAACCACACATATTAAAACAATGGTCTTAGAACTAAACACAATGAGTGGCAATCAGGTATCATCTTCTGGCAAGCTTGTAATAAGCACTCACTCTGTGACAGATTAAATGATTTTTGTTCATTATCTTCTTTTATAAATTATATTCAACCCATTTTACAGCCAAAATAAATAAGGAGTAATTTATGGAAAATCAGTTAATTAATCAGAAGCATCAGAATTTGAACAGATTTGTAGGCAGCAAACCCATACTCTTCACTAAGGTTAAGGTGTCAACATTTAAAACTTCAGCAAACACAAAGTATTGGAACTACCACATCTCAAAGTCATAAACTCATGGAAATATTCTTATTTCCCATCAACCATTTTCTCACCTCCCAAAGACAAATATCTTTTCCCAAAAGGTAAGTTCACGCAATTTGCTAAACTCATGTCCAAAATAAAAGAGAAACAAACTGATATCCTAAACAAAATAAATATTCTTCAGCATCTAAAAAGAAGCTTTTCTATAAAATATAGTGGGATACCAAGGGACAACTATTAAAGAGTAATGAAATTCCAAAAAAATGCACCACTATATACACCTGTGTATCAATGCGTTCACTCATCTTGGTTTAAAACAAATCAATGCTAGTCCCTATTTTGGAAACCACTTCCAAGTAGTGTACATAAAAAACACTTTCAAGTAGTGTTAATATAAAAGGACAACAAAGCCCAGAAATTAATTAAGAAATGAGTGGTTTTATGCAGCACTGTGAGATGAACTTTCTAGTAAACTTTTTCTCTGTACTTAGAATGAAATCTTCCTACAGATTTCCTTTTCTCATTTACATATCTGTACAGGCCTATTCTTTTTTCTTTTCTTTTCTTTTTTTCTTTCAAGCCCCTTTGCCCTTTCAATCATGAAGCATATTACTCCACTGTCAGTGCAAAGCAGTTCCTAACAACAGGGAACCCAGCTGGGATAGGAAGAGGGCAGCGGGCTCATGCATTAACATAATAATCCAACTGTGTTCCCATAGGCCCTTAGGGCAGACAGCATATTAGGTAGGCCTCCTGTGCAGACCTCGGTGGAAGCTGCCTTATCACCTGCCCATCAACCTGTGGCAGCTATAGCTGGCTCAATAGCACCAGCTCCTGCCAAGCAGTGGTGCCCAATTACCTTCCTACAAAAGACAGAAATCCATTTTCCTATGTCTGTTTAATGTACCCCATGCATTTCCTTATTTATGATTTGAATCTACATCTCTGCACTGTTTCTAAGAGATTGACTTATTGCCTTTAAACTTTTTAAAGTCGAGTTTAAAAGCTATTCTGCTGTAGTAAGCAGGAATGAGACTGAAATGTGAATTTCTAATACAAAAGCCCAAGTTGGTTAAAAAAAAAAAAGCTAACTGCTTGGTCACCAGTTGTCTCAAGATTCTTTCTATCAATGCAAAGGACTAGAGGTAACCAGAGGCCCGGATGGCAGTCATCATTTCCTCAAGGGGACTAACAGGAGGTAAACCCTACATCACTGTCTTCTTTCTAATCCAAGTATATACTCAGGTTTCCATAAAACATGAGTCTTTCTGCATCCTGACCTGAACTTAGTGTGAAGCTGGACCACTACAATTAGCTGAAGTAGAAAAATCACAAAAGATACAATCAAATTATGTTTCAAATCTCAAATTATTATTGAAGACTGCTCAAAAAGGAAAAAAAGTCAAGTCAGCTCTAAGTTTGCCTTTTACTGTTTGCATGTAGGAAAGGCAGGCTTCATTTTAATGTTGCTCAGTTCCAAGAGTCTTTTATTTAGTCCCTTCCATGGCACAATATGTAAGGAAAAGCCAAGGGTTGTAGTCAACTCAAAAGGTACATTTACTGCATATTACACAAGATGATCCTCCAAACACCTTAGCAGACATTTGACAGTATAATTCACTTCAGTAGAATTAAGCACAGCAGTCTCATTCCTTAAAATATTCCTATTAAAAGGTTGGAAAGAAGGCACTTAATCTGACATTTAATTTAATAAGAGAAAACTGTTATAGGAGTATTCAAATGAAAGAAAGAGAAAGAAAGAGAAAACACTATTTAAAGGAGCAGGATACTATCAACATGACCAGGGAAATAATTTCTACTGATCAAGTATTTCTAAACAAAAATGAGTCTCTAGGAATGCTGCATTTTGTTTGGTTTTTTTTATGGGTATTTTAATAAAAAATGAATCCTCCATTTAAACGAAAATACATTTATCTAAGATTTCTATGAATTTTAAATGTTAAGGAACTAACACTATTATTTAAGTTAACCAAGCTGATAGATTTTATGTACACTCTAATAGGTAAGAATTAAGTACCAAGGGTCATGTCCACACATGGCACTGATTTTCACTGGCAGTTACCAATGGTACCTAGCGTTACCAGTTTTTATTAACAGATGACACTGACCACTGACCAGTTTCATCATACCCGACAGGGTTTTATAAAAGGTAAATAAATACTCTCTAACATACAGAAATCTGCTTGCTCTTTGTCAAACACCTGAGGATAATTCAAATTAAAGAGAAAAAAAATCCAAGAAAAATGCTTTTGTTCTCTGAATAAAACTTAAGTTATTTAATAATCTCTAAACAATATATGTCAATGGAAGTATAAATATAAAATACTAAACTATTATAAATATTAATGTTCTTGATCTTTTGGGGATTCCAGATTCTCTTTATTCTTTATAAATTCTTACATTCAGACAAAATGTAATAGATCTTTGAAACCATTAAACTTAGGAACTTGATTTTTGATTAAAAAATAATAAGCAGCAGCTATGTGGTGATAGTAGGATAAATAGTGGTCTGGTGGTCTAGATTTTAATTCTGTAAAGGAGTACACTTCCTCTCTAGGGTAAACAAAAGAAAAGTATACATATAAAATAGAAAGTCAGTGAGTCCATTAACAAGAATTTGATTTAAATTTAAGTAGCAACTTCATGCAGCTGAAGTAATTTGGTCTCTAAAGAGTGGTAGAAAAGGCAATAAAGAGAGAACTGTATCATATCTAGCATTAGCAAACTTCGGATGAGTTGAAAGATTTTTTTTTTAAAAAAACACACAAAACAACATAAATGAAGGAAAGTGTTATTTAAAATTTTAAGTAGGAGTAAATTCAAAAAGAACATACTGTGAAAGACATCATATTTATGTTTAAGCATGATGTACCAGTTTTAAAATTTGTTCCCAACCCTTCCAGTAGTTTCTTGAGTGGTTTTTTTCCAGTGGTTTCCTCTATTTGAAATAGACCACATATTCCTCTTGATTCTACCAAAGCGCTCCCTTCCCTCCAGGGAATTACCTAGAAGGGTCCCTCCTCTTCCCAGTGAGAACTATTTGATTCTCAAGGACTTTATCTACCTAGTTAAATTTGGTATCGATGTGCCTTCAGATTGGTTTGCAGGTAGTATATTTTGACATTTCTGCCAAGGATAAAATTAAGTATGAAATACCAAAATTACACGTTGAAATAGATGCCATCTTACTTTGTTTCCTTCTGAATAGCCCTTCAGCTGTTGAGGCACACACATTTTACCCCAGGCAAAATCCCCAGGCTACAATAACTGTGCCTCCTGTTTTCAGGAAACCCAGGCTCCCAAACGTTATTCCTAGGTATCTGATTATCCATGGGCTGTAGTTTCATTTCATAGTTAATCATATAAATATTACTTGACAAAAAGGTAAAACAGTCCAGTTAAAACATTTATTTTCTCTCAATTGCTCATACCGGGTTGCCGAGTAAAGATAACAATTAATTTTCTATGACTTCTTTTTAAAAAAGTTGTTCATTATTTAGCAACAGAGTTCAACGTCACAAGGACTCAAGAGCTGATCGTTTTTATACACAAAGCATAATTTCTCTTCTAGGACTGACCATCTGAGCGGCACACTGGCGGTGGAGAGAAGACCCTGCCACCTGCCGAGACCTGATCTTACTACAGGGCCAGTTTGGCCTCTCAGGAGTCAAGGATCACCACTCTAAACAGGAGCAGACCATCCAATACTATTGCTCCAAAGCTCCTGAGAGGATACATATGACTACTTTAAAACTAGAGAAATATATCCATTAAGTGGAAAAGTAAATAAATCAGCTATTCAAAAAATCCTTTTAGTCCATTACAGATGAAATGGGAAAATTTTAAGACTGTATGTTCAATCTTGAAGCTTTTTTTTCTTTTTTTTTTTAAGACAGGTTTTTCACTATGTAGTTCAAGATGGCATAGAACTCATGCAATCCTCCTGCCTCGGCCTCCCAAATTCTAGGATTACAAGCATGAGCAACATTGCCTAGCAAAGCTTTCAAATTTGTGAGAAAGTAAAATGCATATTAAATAATCACATTCTAACAAAACCAACTTGATTTATATTTCAAAAATTTAATATATTACAGAAGTCTATTACAAAAATTTAATAGCTTATTATCTCAATAAAATGCATATTAAATAACTACATCGTAACAAACCAATTTGATTTATATATCAAGCATTTTATATATTACAGAATTCTATTACAAAAATTTAATAGCTTATTATCTCAAAACCCATTTAGGTACTAAAGCATTACATATTAAATTACTAAAGGAGTTTTTGTTTTTGTTTTTTGGTACCAGGAATCAAACTCAGGACCTTGTACTTGCCAGGCAGGTGCTTATGCTGCCCTAAAAAGAGTTATATCCCTGGCCCTGAAAGAGTTTTAAAAAGAGGCTGACAGCCTGGAATGGTGGCACATGTCTGTAGTTGGGAGGCTGAGACAGGAGGATCCCAAGTTTGAGGCCATCCTGGGCAATTTAGCAAGATCTTGTGTCAAAATAAAATTTTTAAAAGGGCTGTGTATATAGCTCAGCAATACAGTGTCTGCTTCACAGGCATAATGCCTTGGGTTCCATCCCCAGTTTTAAAAGAAAAAGAAACAAAAAAGAAACCAAGGAAAATAATAGGCTTCAACTCTTTTTCTAAAAAATTTTTTTATTTTAGGCTTCAACTCTTTAAATCTGATGTCTATTTATTTAAATACATAAACACTTCATTACACAGTGGTGTCAAAGAGACATCACAGGCAGTAATGGCCCAAGAGGTAAATGGAGTGATGAGAGGAGAAGAGAGGAGAGGAGAAGGAGGGAGGGAGGGAGGGAGAGAGATGGAGAGAGAGACAGAGACAGAGAGGGAGACAGGGGAGAGAGCGAGCGAGAAAGAACCAATGGCCAGTAAAACAACCCAAATATTAAGAGGCACACAGATAGCGGTACTGTATTGGCAGCTTCTGGAAAACAAAAAGAAGTAACCTTTGGTCCTCTCTGTTAGCAAATGCTCATCTAAACTGTGTACTGTGTGTGTGTGTGTGGGGGGGGTGCTGGGGTGGGATAGGGAGAGGCACAAAGGGGTTCCCCAGGGAGTTCCCTAAAGAGGGGAAACAACAGCTCCTTGAGCCAGGACACTATGAATGTGGCATCATCCATGAAACCACAGTGCAGGAACCGTCTCTCAGAGCAAACCTGGATGCAATCAGCTATTAAGGAACTGACGACACCGTGGTACCTGCAGATGTTTTATGACCATAAATATTACTTGCTTAAGATAATCCACTAATTGGGGCTTAGAGACATTCATGGTACAATGGCTTTAAGCCGACTCAACCAAAGACCCACGATGTTCACCATGAGGGGAGCCAGTAGACACAGAGAGAAAACACAGGTAGACAGCCAGAAAACACACGTTCTCCTTCATCAAATAACAATAAATTCTGCTCTGGAAAAAAAAAAAAAAAAACATACAATTGCCTCTCTGGTTCTTTGTGCAAAACGCTGATTTTAATCTTGGTTCAATAATTAAATCCAAAAACAGAGATAAATCAATTAATCCTTATAAAACTGCTCCTAGGAGCTTTATTTTCCTGAAGGAGTTTACAGAACCCTTGACCACTACACAAAGAACATAAAATCTCTGCACCAAATTGCTAACACATATCTGCAATTAGATTTAAAGACATTTTTACAGCTTGTATGCCAAGTTTATCTTACTAGATGTTAAAGAATGCATTGTTGCACTTTAAAGCATTAAAGCTAGCTTAATCATGTTCTTGATAACAATGGTTTATGATTATATCTTAAGGAAAGCAGAAATGAGGCTTTTACATGCTTCTGTTGTTACATGATACTGTTAAACAGAAACAAAAACAAGTAGCAAGATCAACCAAAATCTTTTATTCTACCTTGGGACAGTCTCATCAAGATACTAAGACATCAAAAGTTATAGTTGGAATAAATTCAGCTAAAAGCTTTTAGAGGCTCTAGAATTAAGGATAACCTAAAACACATTTATTCATATCTTCCAAATCTGTACCTATCTAAACAACATAAACCAATAAAGCAAACAGGTAAGGGATAATGAGAATTTTTTTAATTAGCACTTAATTAGTAATGCCAATATGGAGAAAAATGAGTTCTACTATTAATAAGGTATAATAGCCCACCACTGGGATTTATTTTGAATTCATTTTAAAACCAGGAAGTCATAATCTAAAAACCTTCACTCTAAAGCAGTTAAATAGTAGTGCTTAAAAAGTAAGGATTAGCAACTTAATAACAGGTTTTGTACACATACACCAGGCAGTTCCTAGCCACTGATTTATAATTTTAACTTAGAACCAAAAGCTCCCTTCCTTTATAATAAATGGTGACACATTTGATACCATATCTATTTGGGATAAGAATTAGAGCTCAAAGATCTCAATCCAGCACATGAGTTCCTTTTCCATTTCCCTTTTTTGAACCATGCATGTTTCAAAACTGCACAAAAGAAAATATATCAAAACAGAAATAAATTCACTAAAATTTAAGGTTACTCCAACAAAAGGGTTAATTAGGGAAACAAATTTTCTCAGACTGCTAATAATGGGAATGACACATACTATGTGCCCATAAGTAATTCTCAGGTATCTTTGATCTTCAGCCCCACGCGATTTCTGTCGCCTACTGTAGCTCAGCCTCTGGGACTGTCTCTGAACCAGACATCTGGCTACTTTGTTGTTTTAGACTAATCTCCTCCCAGGAGAGCTCAAGAAATGACACCAGGCAAGGAGGGTCCTGGCAAGGGAAAAAACATTGCAGTATTCACAGATTTCTTTTTGAGTGGACGAGAGTATCAAAATTGTCTTCAAATTTCTACAGGGGTCTTCAAGGTCCTGTGTTCCATGGTTTTAGTCTAGCATAATTTAAATAGGATTGTATATAGTATACCTTTAAGGCCCATCAATCATCTTTAAGAACTCACTGAATGTTAATCACAGGATATTACATGTGGAGGAGAAAGTTGTAGAGAAAAATACAAATCAGATTAATTCTTTACCCATCTGTTAGGGCTGGGTGATGACTGATAAAACAAAGATTTTAATTGTCAGCTGAAGGGTTACAGCGAAATTGTGGGACAATATCTGAAACTTGTAAACACAGTTGCTTGCCTCCTATTATGCCAATTCCCTATTCTATTTCTCTTAACTGAGATTTTAGGAACCTTAGATACCAATCTGTCAGAAAGATATTAAAAAGCGGGATTCTATAAAGTGTCTCCGAGACAAATGTGGAAAAAGAAGTGACATAAGGTTTTAAAAATGTCAAAGACAAAAAAGTTATTTCTGGAATCATAGCATCATCAATATATTTCCCAAGGTAAAAAAAAAAAAAAATCAACATCATTATCTTAATACCTTCTTAGGGATTATCGATCAATCCCCTAAATCTATATATCTGAGAAAGAAAAATCATTCACTATTTGCTACACAAATAGAATACACAAATCAAGTAGGACAATTGCTCAACTTGAAAATTTCAATACTTTATTGCAAAACCACATTTCCTCTATTTCTAATACATGATTACAGATACAAAAAATATTTTGAAAATAAATGTTACATTGCAATGTGATATTTATATTGTTCTACAGGATGATGGAGAACTCACTAGGTTATTAATATACTCAATATACTCATGTTAAGTCTACAGTTAAAAGAAATTCCTTATGTTGTGTTTTAGTTACCTTTATGATAACAAAGATAATGTAACTTCCTTCTTGTGCTATATTTCATAAGTAAGAACTCCTAAATTCTATTTTATCATAGTACCATCTACTCTAACATCTAATAAACTCTAACTGCCATGACAGATGGAAATTTTCATAGGAACATATGACAGACAAACCTATGCAATAATAATTCAGTTGTCATTAAGTTATTTCCTATGAAGACAAAAGAATTATATTAAGGGAAATAAGGCAGTCCCAAAAAGACAAGCATTGTATGATCTCACTTCTATGAAAATTCTAGAGCAGACAATGCCTGCACAGAAAGTGGAATGGTGGCTGCCAATGATAGGGGGGAGGAACGGGGGTGGACACAGTTTCAATTAGGAAAGATAAAAACTTTTAGAGAAGGTAGCAATGAAGATTATATACAAATGTGACTGTAACTAAAGACAGTGAACCGTATATTTCCAATGATTAAAAATGTTATATTGTTTACAATACCACAATTCAAAAATATTATCAGAAAAATACAATGAAAATTCAAAGACAACAAAAACTCAGATCTTTTTATTTTTACAGTCTATCACCAAAGATGTATAAAGATTATAAGACATATTGACAATCACATTTTAATCCACACATTTATATTACCAATATACAAAAAACGAAAGAAGCACAATACCAGTGCTGGAATGCATTAGCAAAACAGATTCTGGAGAGAATGTCTCCAAAACTTTCCATAGGCATATAGAGTTTTGTACACATTAGTAAGAGAACTACAGCTACATAACTATTTCTCAATATTAATCTGCATTTCTAAAGAATCCAAAAAATGAGAAAATTCAAAACAACTGAGAGTTTTTTATAGTACCACACATTATTAAGTCATAACAGAGTCGGACATGGTGGTACATGTTGTGATCCCAGCATCTGGGAGGCTGCAGCAGGAGGATGGCGCATTCAACCCTGGATAATTAGCAAGTGTGCAAGTAATTAACTAAAAAAGTAATTAACCTAAAAAAAAAAATGGCTAGGACTGTAGCCCAGTATGATGGTTCTGTGTTCAATTTCTATCATCAAAAAGAGAGGGGGAAGGTATAATAAACCCAAATAATTTAGCAATATAAGTACCTAATACATATCATATTTTAAATTACATTCAGTGTATTTCCAGTGTTAACTATACTTTATTATATTCTATTACTCAAAAATGACACCTTACATATTTACATGAACTGTACTGAACTTTCAGCTTCATGCAAACACACCAAATAGTGAGAGCTTACATAAGAAATGTTACTTTTTGTGTCATGAAAAAGAAGGCAGACAATAGGGCCAGTATTGGCAGCTGCAGACTCATAAGGACCTAAGGCCCAATGCTTTCTGGTCTACCATCACTGGTACTGTCTAAAGGCCCAGCAATGTTCTCAGAGCTCTAGTCATGTAATAAACATTCCAGAAAGCTGGAAGAAGAATGGAAATGCAGGTTGCCACCACTCCTTTTAAGAAGACCTCCTGATTTGGCCCTGATCAAGGCCTGCAGCTTCCTGATGCTGTTGGTTTCAAGCAGGAGCCTAAAAAGATGTCTTTCTATGGTCTGTTGGCCATTTCAGAACTTGGGCAGTGAAATGGTCAATTCATTAGAAAGAAACAGCCTGAAGCAACCCCTCTCCGCCCTGATGAGTGGCTGTGAGCATGGCAGGCTGCAGCAGCCCAAGATGGGAGCCACCAGTGTTTACTGGGACCTGCGCCAGGCTGAGACCTGGAGAACCAGGAAACCAAGCAATCCCTACCCACCCCCGACCCCTCAACCTCTGTGCCTATTTTGTTTTGTTGAACTTCAGTATACATGAAAGTATGGACAGCTATTTTGAAGAGAACAATAGCCATTAATGACTACTACAATACTACAATAGCCATTAATGACTTCCCTACTGTTTGGTTTTGAAGACCTAAATCGCCTTCCTTATTCTGTTCGGATCAGTTTTATACTATGTTCTTTTGTATGAATTCTCCGTATGCAAAGACATGGACAACTATTTGGAAGAAAACAAGAGACAATATGATAGATAGTGAAGATCTCAAATCATCTAGCTTTGAAATTTATATCTCTTACATTGCTTTCTTATGTCCTATTTTGTTCTGTTTTGTTGTGTTTAATTTTACCCCCCTTAAAATAAAAAAAAAAAAAAAAAAGATCTCCCAAGTGTAGAACATAACACCTTCATTTACATCTGATATGGTCAAAGAAAATGTCAGGAAATCTAATAAATGTGATATTTCAATTGAGAATCAATGTACCCAATTGAAAGTTGGAGTTCGGTTGTAAAGACAAAGTAGGAATGGATATTAGAAAGCAAAGAGATATGTCCAACATACATATTAACTAGGATCTTCAGTTACATACAACTACTATTATAAGTTAATTGCTTAAAAAAAGGAAAACATTTAGAGGTGGGGGATTTAGCTCAGTGGCTCAAGCACTTGCCTGGTAAGTGTGAGGTCATGAGTTTGATCCCTGGTACCAAAAAAAAGGAAAACATGTATTACTATTACTGGTATCTGATTAGCATAATTTCAGATATAAGAGTAGGAGCTATCAATAAATCACCATGATGATAAAACAAAAGTAAAATTGCATCAATTTGAGAAAATAATACCCAACTGAGATACACACAAAGGGTCAATTTCTTTTTATTTTTGTTTTTGTACCGGGGATCGAACTCATGACCTCAAGTTTGCCAAGCAGGCACTTACGCCACTGAGCTAAACCCCTGGCCCCTGGGTCAATTTCTTTTACTTCTTTAAGTATAAACTGAGCACTTAATAAATAATCAGGCAGATCCTCCAGTAAGTTAACATTCTGTGTTATCTTCAATAGAAATAAATGCAAGGTGCAAAACATGACCTTAGGTATGGACTGATGTCACGGACTTTCTATTATCCAACTCCTATCTTTTGCCTCCACTGTAAATAAATAAATGTGTGCATATATGCGTGTGTGTGTGTGGTTTTACATATGCATAAATAGGGGAAAAAAGTAGAAAAATAGGAATTAGGGAAAAGAAGCAACAGAATAAAAATCTGGATAACTAAATCAATTTCCTACAGTATCTATCCCACAGAGAAACTAGAGAATTATATATAATCACCAGGAGGGAACTGAATAAGATCTTTTACTTGGCTCTGATTGGAGGTTTTAAGTTATACATAAAACTCAAATTTCTCTGTTAACCATCTATCACCTTGACTTCTGTGGCACCAAACAAAGCTTCAATGATTTGTTTTGGGAGGACACAGTAGGATTACTTTGAAGAAAAAGTGGTGACCTAACACAAATCTGAGAGAGACTTCAGTAGCAGGCTTTTGGAAGGCTACTTGTGGTGACAGCAAAATAAAGCTGCAGGGTCTAAAAAAAGCATCTTAACATCTTTTTGCCAGAGGTAGAAATCTTGGGGTGTCCAGATGTTTCCTGGGAACATCTGCTCTCTAGTGCCAATGCTCAAGGAAATCTGCCCCAGACAGCCTTTAGAAAATACCAAAGCGAAAGAAGGTTAACCAACCAAGTCAGCTTCTAGAAGAAGACTCAGTAGCAGAAAAACACACACTGCCGTCATTATAAATCCAGGCTCAGAATTTGGAAATCTGAGAAAAACCACTTAAGGCTGAAAAGGTTATATCCAGAAGAAGAGAATATAATGATGACACAGATACCAGAGGTCTTTTTGAACAGACTAGATTAGTTAAGACCTGGTTAGTGCAGAAACTAAAATTCACCAGAGAAGGACAAATCAATGATGAAAGAAAACAAGGAAAAAATAGGAAAGAGGAGGAAAGCTCAGAAGACAGAGGCATGACTGACTTATGAAGACAATAATAAACATTTTTTTAAAATCAGTTAGACTCATATAGTATCCTGTTTCCAGCCTTATGAGATGAAAAGAAATACGTGAAACAACTTAGCCAAAGTAGAGGTAAAATACTGAATTTTTCTTTAGCTATCATAAAACTATTCAAGGTGAAAAATATCACAATGAATTCCTAATCCCCTATATCCAATAAAACAATCCAATACTCACTCAGAAACTAGGTCATACAACTGCGATGATAAGAGAGCAATGATTAATTTATCACCAATTAACCACATCCAACAGACTTTCTAATCACTAACCTTTTAAGAGTCAGTCTTCTAATAGCAATAACATAATTGTACAATGTTTTGTCATTCACAAATCATGTTCAGAAACGTTAATCATTTAACAAGATGACACTGAGAAACACATGTGTACTTCCAGAAAATATTTTGTATAACCTAAATAACAGAGGTTCAGAGGGTGGGGAAGAGTGGATATATACTGAGTTTCTAACATTTCAGGTAATTGCATATGTTGAAGATTGTTTGTTTGTTTTCTATTTTTCAGTACTAAAGATTTTTTTTTTTTTTGGTACCGAGAATCAAACTCATGACCTTGCGCTTATCAGGCAAAATAAACCTGGGGCCCTATTTTTCAGTACTATAGATTAAACTCAGGACCTTTTGTTGTTGCTATTGTTTGAGGCACATTTTAACTAAATTGTCCGTGGAGTGGAGAGGTTAAACTTGCAATCCTCCTGCCTCAGTCTCCCAAGTAGCTAGGATTACAGGAACGTACCACCATTCCTAGCAACTGAAGCATATAAAGGAAAAAAAGGACATAGTATCTTAATTTCAGATACATTTGCTTGACCAGGATATTTTTAGGGTTATGCTCCTGGGTGGGATGGACTTCCTGGTAAAGTCTGGATCTCTGATACCAAAACAAACTAAAGACAAGGGCTCCCTCATGTTTGAGACACAGAAAGAAACCTCAGCTTTGCTATCAGCTTCTCATCCCACAAGGAATGGAAGATCATGAAACAGACACAGAATCTCCTCTCCACCTGTGTCACTGCCATGATGCAGAACACACAGAGCTGTACGATGCCCTTGTCCCACTCACACCACCCAGATGTTTGGTGATTCCATCCATATTTTATATCTATGTGGCGCAGCAAAGCAGTAATTTTGCCTCCAAGTCAGTACAGGGAAGCAACTTCTCAGTTCTGCTGCCAGCCAAAGTGCAATTGCTTCCTTAGCCATGTGCTCTCCTGCTTGCAAAGTTATGCCACTGATCAGGCCACTAGGGTACAATTTGTGAGCAGTGTCCCCTCCATCAGACCTGTACTCTCAGGTGTTCCAGCAAGTCTGCCGTCATGACCCTACCTTGGTGGCCTTCCCCCAAAATGTCCTAACCACTGACAGAGAACCAGGAGAGCCTTACTTCTAAGAACGAACCTTCTAAGCTGTGCTTGACTCACGCCCAGAGACCTTCCCTGGACTCCCCACACCACGTACCCTGTTTGCTGCCATACCCATCTCTAACGTTCCTGCCAATTTGCCCATTTCATTACCAACCTAACCGAAGCTTCTCATTCCTCACTACTGTGGAAACAAAACTAAAGAATAACTTCCTCATGTCTGAGGCACAAAAGGAAAACTCAGCTTTGCTTTCAGTTTCTCATCCTACAGGGAATGGAAGTTCCTGAAAGAGACACACAATCGCCTCGCCATCTCTTTCCCTGAAATTTTGTACTGCTCTGTAACTACACTACCCTGGAATTACAATGCCCTTATGTTCACACTACACTGACATCCAGCCTTCAGACAAATGGCAAACCACTCACCTTTAATGTGAAACTAACACAAGACCTTTTGGAACTTTGTTGATTTTGCATGAGGTAAGGTAATACTGGAATGAAAGTGTCCTACAGAAACCAGATCTCCCACCTGTGGACTTTCAACAAATCACCTCACCTCTCAGCCCTAATATGCCCAACTACAAAATCAGAATAATATAATACGAGTCCTATCTACTTCATAAGTTAGAAAGTTCAAGAAAATGTAGATAGAAGCATTTCATTACATATGCACAATAATTTCAAATTTTTTGTCATAATAGATGAGTTTTTAAAAAGTATTCTTATATACATTTTAATCTTATATACCCTGAAATATCCATAAAGAAATCACCATTTATTTTAAAAATACTGTAGCTATTAAGTGTATACCAATGTCTTCCAACGGTTGAATTATTTTTTCCATATATTTACTTGAGTAGATGAGTTTATGATTATCCAAAATTACAAATGGAAGGAAACAGATTAAAGGTTCCATGTGGATGGTAACACTTTTGTGTATTCTTTTCATCACTTAATAGATTTGAAAGTGCACAATGAGTCCTATAGAAGTCTTTCATTTTTTTCCAGGCTACACCAACCATATAGAAGTTTCTTATTTCCATTCATACATTAGATTCTTATTTTCTTCCAGGTTTTACTTTAGTCATTCTGGAGGGTTGCCGCAAAGGACAAAGCAAAATGAATATGAATAATTGAGAAAAACTAAATATTACAAGATATAGCCAATTTTGTATCATGATTTTTCTATAAAAGTTTAACAAAAGACAAAGTATTAACTGAGTAAGAATTACTGTCTTAATACTAGATATTAAATCAAGACACATACAGAGCTGGATTTAAACAAAGTTCTTTTAAAATATTCATTTATTCAAATATGTTTACTGTGCTCCTGATATATGTCATACACTGTACCAGCTGAAGATATAACAGTGAATATGAAGCACACATTCCATGCTATCTACTGAAAGTCCTCTACGACATTTGCACTGGAGACGCCTTGATAGGGTAACAGCCACAGGACAGCGGTGGAGAGATGGATAAAGCTTCTTTAAGGGAAGCTTCCAGTCAAACAGAATACCAAGCTTACAACTTCCTAGAGATTGTTTCTTAGCAAGTTACAGGCATTTGGCTCTATTCTCAGGGCAACTTTTATTCTCACTAAGACAGTTCACCTGTGGATAGAGAGTTTTAGCACTGTCTCTCCTACTTCCAGGCTTAATTTGAAGACGGAGGAGAAAAAAGGTAAAGAGCACAGGCTTTGAGGCCAGGGAGCCTGAGCTCACATTCTCACTCTTTCTTTCACTTTCTCTTTCTTAACCTCTTGGACACTTTTGTGTCAGTTTTCTCATCTGTAAAATGGGGATAATAATAGTACTGCACTATGTCAAAAGCTTGGCAGAGGAACTAGAGGAATTGGAGGTGAAAAGCATAGAGAACAAGGCTGAGATGAGGCAAGAACAGTAGGCACCCTGCGGTGAGGGCAGCGTCCTCTCTTGCTGTGCATGTCAGCAGCTCACTAAATTCACTTGGGGCAAGAAAAGTGTCTCCCAAAGTTAAAGTACCTCTGGAATTGCACGTTGGCAGTCCTGACTTATTCCATCATCTTGCTCTACTTTTTATTTCCTTCCAAGCTAGAAATTCAGAAAGTACAGGAAAATGCTAGCATTATCTCCTATTTCTAGGGGGCTTCATAAAAGCTAAGATTAGGCTTTTCTCAACCAATATGAGGCTCCTTGATTTAGCAAACAAGCTTCTCAGTCAATTAACTTGCTTTCTCCCCTATTGACAACCAATTTACAATGAATAGAGCTTGAAGTTCTTCATCAGCCACAGGCAAACTATTTCTTAAATTGGATTTTTACCCTTCGATATATTTTCAAACATAACTTGAACATACAAGATTTTTAAAAAGAATTACATACTTCATCCAAGAAACATACTTTTTTAATCAACCACAACAATACAATATCAAATGAATTGATTTATGTGTCTATTGACAACCAAAGAATGGTAATTCTCATTTTTTACATAAAAATATTATATACCACTATATTAGTCATTAGTCATTTCTCATTATATACCACTAGATTAGTCATTAGTCAATACCCATGATTTAAAGGATGAGAGGTTTATTTTGGCTCATAGTTTCAGAGGTTTCAGTCACTGACTGGCCCCAAAGCAGAAACAGCATGGTGGAAGGACCTGCCAGGAGACAGCTCTCAAACCATAGCAGCCAAGAACAGGAGGGGAGGATCCAAGGACAAGAATACACACTGCCAGGTCACCACCCCACTGTCTGTCTGTTTCACATTCAGCTATGAACCTCCCAGTGAGTTAATCCACTGACACAGTGCCCTACAACCCAAGCACCTTCCAAAAGCCCCCCTATGAACACATGAGATGCTCGAGACACCTTTTAGACCCAATCCATAAAACAACAAGTGCACAAACACACAAAAGGTAGTTGGCAATTAAACCTTCACTGGGGAACTAGAAATACTAAAACTGGAAAGAACAACCACAAAAATAACATGCCAACAACTTCACTGCACAAATACCATGAGTATTTAAGATGGGTTATGTTGACCAAGACTTACTGTAAACTCAAATGAGACCTAATGTGCATCAGTCTTTGCTGTTCTTGGTAAGAAAAACCACATGAATAGAAAAGCATCTTTCAAGGCTGACCGACTCAAAAAATAATTTGTATATAGAAACATATAAATATGCTTTACATCATGTAGGAAGTTCCTCAGACTGGTCTTTCAGAATTTAAACATCATAGTCTGCCTTCTTGAGAAAGTACACCATTTTCAAGCCTGTTTGAGCTTTTTAATAATGTTGTCTCAAGTTCAGTATTTGAAAAATCATTAAGTGAGAAATGCTTTTGAGCATCAACTCTGAATGATTCCCACAACAGGCTCACTAAAGTGAACTTGCATAAATGAGAAAATACATCTCATCTATGACACTGCTAAATCTATCTGTTTATTCTGGCACGGTAAATGCATGAGAACAAGTCTTAAAAGAGAGATGATAACACACAGCTTTGAAATTAATTCAGTGTAAGGGACTCCATCATTGTTTGGAAGCATTCTATAGGACTTGACATGATTAAGAGGAGTTGGGATCATTCTGTAGCTCCCAGGTGCTCCTTTACCATTTTTACTACGGATATTCTGGTCCTGCATTAGGGAACACAAAGAAAACCAGCCCCGTGAAGAAATTCAAAAATTGGTTTGTTGAGTCAAATACACATGAAAATGTCTCATTTCAGGTGAATGTCACAACAGAAATACAAAAAGAGCAGTGTGTTGTGGAAGGAAGAAAAGGTTAATTCTCAGCGAGCATCTGCTGAGGCTTCCGGGGAGGGAGCTGGTACTGGAACTGGACCTACACTGATGGGGAGGGGCTTCCTTACTGTCCCGGGGGATATGAAAGTCACTGTCATAGGAGCAGCAAACTAGAATGAACTGACCACAGGGAGCAAAACAATTCATTAGGAAGACACGGTTTTCAAAGTTGTGTGAGGCCAACAGCAAAGGAACTGTCTGAAAGTGTAAGAGGACAGTCAGTAATCCATCTGTGCAGAAGATCAAAGGAGCCAGCTGACACGAGGTAATATGAGAAGAGATTTCCAATGAAGTTTGGGGTTCTTCAAGCTGTGCTTCTCAAAATAAATTGGGATTTTTTTTTTTTCTAAAAGAGAAAAAAAGAAAGGAAAAGGAAAGGAAAAAAAGAAGAAAGGCAGGGCTGGGGATATGAAAGGAGCTAGGTGTGGTGGCAAAACTGTCATCCCAACCTTTGGGAGGCTGAGGCAGGAGGATCACTGAGGCCAGTCTGGGCTACACAGAGAATTCAATGATAGTCTGAACTACATAGCTAGTTCTTGTCTTAAAAATACAGAGAGAGAGAGAGAGAAAATGAGAGAGAGAGAAAATGAGACAGAGAGAGAGGAGAGAGAGAGAACACATTGAAGAGTAGTTTTCAGGAAGCTTTTTGGCTTCTACCTATGGGATATGTTTAAAAATAAAAATAAAAACAAAAATTACTCATTAGGAAGGGCCTTGCAGTTCAATCTCTTGGCAATTAATTAAAACACAGTTCAAACTCACTCAATATGTAAAACCATTACTTTGGACCCAAATGTTCTTAGCCATGAGTAATCTACTTGAAAATCTTAAACATCTTTATTGCAAGATGGTCTCATTAAATGACTTACAAAGCATAGCCTGATGTGCTCCTAAATAAGTACAGTTTAAAAGGATCATTTGCAAAGTTTGCAGCAAAGCAGTAAGGATTAATCCTGATTCCTTTAACCTATCTCTACTTTATCCAGGTTCTTTACAAAGAGATTGACAGATGTCAAGCACCTTCACATAAAAATACATGCATTGTATAATACCCTTTTAGGAAGCATACAATCTAATAAGGAACGTAAGTTGAGGAAGCATAAAGATCTATAGTTAATATGATAAAGTACATCATATTCACCAAGATGTGCTGCTTTTTCAAAATATGTTCATTTAAAACAACTCTTCTGACACATAACTGATTAAAAAGTCAAAAAAGAAAACAATCTCAAAATAAAAATTTTAAAAAAAAGAGTTAGGGATGAAGAGAAAAAGCTGTCTTCTGAACTTTAATTTACTGACATTTCCAATCCTCCATAATTCTGTAATTATTAAGAACAACTTTCCCTACCTCCAACAGTAATGACTTCATAAATATACATAAATACAGGAGTAACTGGCAGGTAATCAGTGCAGACGTATGCCACAGAAACTAAAGAAGGTATATGCAGAAATGTGAAAATAGCCGGGTGTGGTGGCACACGGCTATAATTCTTGCACTCAAGAGCCTGAGGCAAGAGGCTTGCTGGGAGTTCAAGGCCAGCCTGGGTTGTACTGAGTTTAAGGGCAGCTGAAACTAAACAGCAAAATCTTGTCTCCAACAAATAAACAAATTTGTAAATAAAAGTAAAAATAATCAAGTTTCTATAATAAGAAACAAAAATATGCATACTAATTAGGTAAGATTAAAATTTTAAATGTGTTCTTAATGCTTTTTCAAACCACTTACAAACCCAGTCTCTTTTCAAAGGAAGTCTAATGCTTAAAATACAACGAATCAAAAATAAACCAAATTCTAAAAAAAAATGTTTTATTAGCCATGTGCACACACATTCTGATAATGAAAAAAGAGAATTAAATCAATAACGAAATCTCAACGTTATAGAAAGCTGTTTAAGGGAGATCTGGCATCTGACAATTTTTGTGATTTCTTTTCTGGCAAGCAGGTAGGAAGGTTTTTTAGGCGTATAGTAGGAGAAATATCCTGTAAATCTATTCAATTCCACTCATCTGTTTCCATGCTCTAAAACTTTTAATTGGCTTCCTATGCCCTTTCCTTCTCAGAAGCTTACCTTGGATATCTGACATAAGTATACCACATTATAAAAGGGACTATAACAATACTGAAGAGAATCTGTACTATAAAGCAATAAACAGGGGTTATCCAGCTATTTATTTAAACATCAATCATCTACCTTTTACTATAATTTACTGTTTCATATTGCTTACTAAACCTAAAATTCTATAAATGTACTACATATAGCAATTGCTAATAAGCACTCAACCCGTATGTTTAAATCAGTGGATGAAGTAAGCACATCAGTGAATTCATTTTAAGATTAAATTCTTCACAAAGCAATGATAATTACTCAGAAAATCCAGTGATTTCATCAGTAACAAGTCACTGCCTTGATAATAGTGATGGCTGCTTGATATGTTCCCCCACAATTAGCAGGTAATTCTGCATACAAACCCTGAGACCCTGGGAAGCAGTGCTAGAAATTGATATATAAATATTATACTAAACACATAGTTTAATTCCAAGGCAAAGCTATCTAGGCTCAGCGTGATGTGATGACAGCAACGGGGTAGTAACACTGTGCCACGTTTTAAACTGGAATTCCTTAAATGCTTCTCACCCAATATTAGAATATCTGAGGCATGGTTGGATCTGAATAGAGGGGTCACTTGGCTTTAGTGATAGAGAAAAGGACTTATAGAGGACAAAACAATGTTGGACAGGGAAAAAAGCCAAAGAAGAAAAATGGTAAGAGGCAGAAAGAAAATTAGGAGACAACAGTATTAGGGAAACAGAAGGAAGCTAGAGGCAAGTGATCATGGTGTCAAAAGCTACAGTAAAGTCTTAAAGGATGAGAACTGAGAATTGGCTGTGGGACTCAGGGATTAGAAACTATTGCTAACCATTAAGATTAGAAAGTAGAAATGGAAGACAAACTGAAAGGCATTAGGGTTAAATGAAAAAATTCTAGTTACACACAAAAATCTTGAGAAAGATCTGTATGTTTCAATAAGTTTTTCAGCCACTTAACACAGTCAACTCTCCCTCAACCCAGAAGACCCAGAGGTTGAAGTCGAGGTAGGGATGGAAGAAGAGCAGGGCAGAGAATTTTGTGCTGCTCTTACCGCTACTCCTGTTTTCATCTGTCAAAGAAAACTGTTACGGTTTCCTAGAGAGCGCATGAGGCTGGAAGCTGACAAATACACAGCTGCCAGCTTGGAAGAAGGCTCAAGGCTACCAGTATTTTTCAGACAGAAGATTTCTCCAGGATGCCATTAACCCTCCACTACAAGTGAAAGCAGTAACCCCATTTAACAAGAAAAAGCGAGGAAGAGAAAGGCTAAGTGACTGCGGAAGGAGACAGTGACTGACAGATCGGGTTTCCTTCCTGCTCCAAGTCCTCCTCTCTGCTGATTCCATCCACTCTACCTGCCTTTATAAATGTTTCAATGAATTTTATCTTCGTGCACTGGATTAGCAAGACCAGCTCCCCACTGATAATGCAAAACCACCCTGAAATGCTTCATGCCTTGCTGATAAGCCAGAAATTGAGCTTCCACTCTCCATTTGGACTGTGATGATCTTGATCTTTCACCTTTGGCAAAACTCTCACAGCTGTACTTTTAAAGCTAGTGAAGAGTGCTTCATCTGCTTTCTAAGCAGACAATAAAACCTTTTTCAAATACACTCAGGATGCCATGACCTTCATCTGTGACATAAAGTTTACCACATGTAATAAGTTTCTTTGCTCAAGAGATATTCTTATATTTTCTTTGAACAGACTTGGTCCCCAACTCTACTGATGAGCCTAAACAGACACGCACACACATGTACACTTGTGCTTGTTACCTTTCTTCTATGCCAAAAATCAAAATGTTTCATTAAAACATACGTGAAATTCACCATGACTATCAAGGAATGCTAAACTACCTGATACATAAAATATAATTAAAATACCGGCCCAGTTGTTATTTTCATATTAAAATAAGCACGTTGTCTGAATCCTAGGGTAACGCCTCCAACTAGCAAACGCAGTTCAGATTCCTAAAGTAAGTGAGATGTAATCCACCCAGGTGTGTTTTGGGGTCTTTCTGTACATTAAAACAGTAATGACACAGGCCAATGTAAGGGCTGGGGATGTGGCAAGCACGAGGCCCTGAGTTCAAGTCCCAGTACAAAAAAAAAAAGCCAAGTAAAACAATTTCACTCTGCTTTTTTTAGTTTTGAGAAATTTACAACATGAAACAGGTTTTGAGTAGTATAAGATCACACTAACTGCAGGCTTCGCAAAGGCAAGCACAGATTGCTGGCACTCAGAAGACAATACCCTGAGTACAGCCCCTTAGCAACCGAGTCTGAGCTAAAGCTGAGAAGAGGGTCTCAGAACCAAGAAGCGGTTTTCTGACGCCCTATCCTTCTCCCCACCCTGCCCCATCTCAAGATCAGAGACCCTAGATCACGCTCTAGTCTCTTTTAGGGTCCCCTAAAGATCCTCTTATGACAGGTGTCCTGCCCAAACCTGGAGGTTTGGGAGAAAGAGATGTCTTACAAAGACAGAAATGACTGTGAACACAGACCTTGCTGACCCCGCACCATTTACTCCCATTAGGCCACACTTCCTTTTGCCTAATAATGTTTCTCCATAACTGTCCACTTTTTTCATGAGACAGAATAAAAATACGGTTTTCTCTGAGACTTTGAATCCTCATTTCTGAAGCTGCCCATGCCATATAAAACTTGAGTAAAAACAAATTCATTGTGCTTTCCTCTTGTTCACTCGTCTTTTGTTACAGATGACAAAACGAGTAAGCTGATTACTTTTTCTTCCCTACAAGACCTTAAGCTCCTTCCAATTCCTTATGATAAAAAAAAAATGATGTCTTAAGGAAAATGAATGTTTAACTGCACTCTATTCCTAAAGTTGGATGGTGGGCACAAAAGACTCTACAGTGCTTTACAATGGCCATATGCGGTTAACCTATCTTTCCATCATAGACTAACAGATTTCTTGTGTTTGAAAAAGAGACCTAAACTTCACCACTAGACACTTTCAGTAGGCATAAGGTGGATACAAAGAAATTAAGTCTATTTCTTGAATACACACAGGTAATAATACTCATGCAAGGGATCCATGAAGTTCATTTTGAGGGGGAAAAAAAATGAGCAGATCTAAATAACAGGCCTATCATCAGTTCACTGTTATACGTGATAAAGGTGCCTATTTTCATGGCTTCAATTGCCAGGCTTAGCTTTAAACACAGATAACAGAGTTTAACACAAATGCAACTCCTAGCTCCAAAGAGAATTTTTCCTAAATTGTCCTTGTTTTAAGCTATTAAAATTTTAATTGCTTCTTTTCTTTTCCTTTTTTTGTTTACAGATTTGAAGACAGAAATCCTTAATTGTATTTCTCTCCTATCTGTTTTGATACTAGACTCTCAAAATTTTGTTATATAACTGCACAACATTATTCAGGAAAAAAGACCTGATACTCACTTCACATTTTTAGGAAACAGCTTTTAGCCGAATCCTCTAAACTTGCAAAAGAAACACTCAGGGTTAAATATGTAGCTCAGTGATATAGCACTTAACTTAGTATCCATTTGATGGCCGGCACCACCATAAGAAAAAGAAGGAGTAGAGGGGAGGTCAGGGGCAGCAAAGGAGGAGGAGGGGAAGGAGGAGGAAAAATAACACCAAGATAAAAGTAGACTGTACATCTTATGTCTACCCTTCTTACTTTTTTGACTTGAGCAATAGTCTTTGTACTTGGAACTTTCCAAGGCTTTTTCTTAAATGCTGAAGACTAGGATTCTATTTCTTTTCCCTTAAAGAATAATTACTAAAGTTTGTTATTGTTGTTGCTTGTTTTTTAATTGGGATAAATGGGAGAGATACTGCTTCTCAAGTAGTTGGATGGAGCCAGTAGGAGGCTTCACTCTGGTCTTGAAGGAGTCAAAGGGGGCTACATAGTGGGCTAAGGAGAGGTCTAACAAAAAAAGGGCACCAGTGTCGCTGTCACTTGCTTTGACAGAGATATCTGGCAGTGCATCTTTGAGTTTCATGGCAGGTGTCTCAGAGCTCAACAGGTCTCTGTCCTTCTACGGGAAGACTCTCATAAAGACCCCAGACCTAGTTTCTTTCTCTCCAAGGGCCCCAAGAAATGTAGATCCCACTGACTAATAAGCTATATCCTTAAAAACTGAAACTAGTTTAACCTTGACGATCTGAGTAAAAAGTGAGTTTTATTCAAATACTGTGTAGATCGAATATGAACTAAGAGACAGCAAAAAAAGGATACAGAATCGTATACTAAATTACAATACTGTTCTTTAGTTAGGTCTTTTCAGGGAAAGGCAGGGAAAATCCTTGTTCCATTTGTCAACCGCTGAGATGACTGATTAAAGGCACTGGAGGACTGACTATTCAAGAGAGAGAGAGAGACAGACAGACAGACAGAGAGACAGAGAAACAGAGAGAGAGAGAGAGACAGAGAGACAGACAGACAGACAGACAGACAGACAGAGTAGGCCAGCCAAAACTCCCACTCTTGCTCTAACGAATAAGATTCAAGGGGCCAGGCAAACTGCAACACTCTTGCCCACAGGCATCTCCATCTCCTGCAGGGACCCCTGGGTGATCCTGGATGGGACTCCCGGGGGAACAAACTCAATTCCTTTTGGATACAGGAGCAGCTTACTCTGCTGCAACTTCCCTTTCTGAAAAACCCTTCTCTAAATCTGTAGCCATAATGGGGAGGGGGGAAACACTAGTCAGAGCTTCTTTGCTTCTGCTTTGATCTGTCAGTTTAAAGGTCAAATTTCAACCATGCCTCACTCCCTTACTATGAAGAGATTTACTAGCAAAATTTGGAGTAGTTCTCCAATTCCGGGAAAGACTACAGCAAATTTTATCTGCTAAGATTATACCAGACCTCCTTCACCTAATTAGTCAATAGGTGGATCCCGCTGTATGGTTAAACAGATTACCTGGGCAAATTCAGCAGAGTTGCTAGTTATAAACTTTCCAACGGAAAAGAATATCCAATCAAAGAGACCCATGAAGCGCTCCTGCCTCTCACAGCCAGTTTCTCAAGCATGGCCTCCTGAGGCCTTGTCAGTCCTCTTGCGCTAGCCCTGTCCCCCATAATAACATCTTCAGCTGGTAAATGACCTTGGCCTTGTGAACAAGGCCATAATGCCAATCCACCTTCTAGTGGTAGATCCTTATACCAACCTCTCCCAGATTCTATGGGACAGAAATTGGTTGACAATCTTGGATCTCAAAGATGCTTTCCTTTCTATTCCTCTCCATCCAGATTCACAGTTCCAATCTGCCTTTAAGTGGAAAAATCCCATCTCAAAGAAAAAAACAGTATAGTTTGATAGTTCTCACATAGGACTTCAGAGGTAGCTCTACCTTTTTGCTCAGCCACTGGAAAAGAATTTAAGGAATCTAGAGTATGCATACAGTATGCCGATGATATTCTGATCTGCAGCGCAACTTGGGAGTTATCCAACCACGAGACTATTCACAGTATTTTCTAGCTAAAAATGGAAATAAGTGTCAAAAGAAAAGGCTCTATATTCAGAATCCAATACTTAGATACATTTCTATACTCAGGGAATTATAACTGTCTAAAGATACACATCTATACAGCTATCTGTATAGCCTGTATACAGCTTCATTCCTCCCTTGGAATGGCTGGCTTCTGCCAAATCTGTATACTGAATATTGGACAAATGGCAAAGCTTCTGAATGTACCTGTTAAAGGTCCTCAGTCTGAGCCCTTAGATGGACAATTGTGACAAACAGTGCTCTTCAAGGAATAAATAAAACATGCCCTCACTCAGGCTTCTGAGCTAGAAATACCTGACTGAAGCAAATTTTCCTTCCTCTATATATCAGAAAAGAAAGAAATTGCTCTTAGTGCTTTGACTTGAAGACTGCTGGAGCAGAAACTCCACCCAGTGAAATACTTTTCAAAAAGTAAGACATAGTAGCTGTTCCATAGCCACCTGCCTGAGGGTAATGGCAGTTACAGTTATGCTAACAGAAGAAGCCACAAAACAAACTTCAGGACAAAAACTGGAAGTCCTGACTCCTCATCAGGTCAGGCCTATTCTTGAGACAAGTTATTTGTGGATAACGGGAACAGCTTACCAAGTACCAGCCCATGCTTCTGAGATTTCAAAAAAACTTGCACTCTCTTAATCCTGACTCTGATGCCTCTAGACTCACAGGTTATCCTCTCTTGTGAACAGGTGATTTTCTGGAGGACACAAGCAGGCAGAGCATAAGTCATGTGCTCCTCCAAGAATGGACAGTGGAGAAAGAATGGACATTTTTCCAAGAAAGACAGCAAAAGGCAGGGTATGTAGATGCTAATTCACAGCAGGTCCCTGACGTCAAACCCCTTCTCCAGAACTTCTACTAACAGCTCACAGCTCTTACTCAGATATTGATACCAGAAAAATGCAAGACACTAAATATTTCACAAGTTCCAAATATGCTTCTCTGGTGTGACAATATGCCCACTCAACAGTCTATAAAGAAAGGGGCTAACTAATAACCAATCCATAAGGCACAACAAGAAACTCTTGGAGGCAGTCTATCTTCACAGGCAGGTCACTGTCATTCATTGCAAAGGACACCAAAGGGACATGTCTAAAGTCTCCTTGGGAAAACAAAAGGCTGACAGAGGGGCAAAAAGGCAGCCGTTAGCTCCTCTGGACCCAGCCTTATTCCCAGTTCCTAAGGAACCAATAAAATCAGCCTATACCCCCCAGGATGATCAGTGGGCCTTATTACAAGGAGGAATTAAAAACTTTGATGGTATTTGAAAAACAAACTAGCTCTTCCTCAAGGGACACAATGAAAAGGTATTAAAAAAATCTTTCAGGACCCTTTCCATATGAAAAGAGAAGCTACATGGGAAATGGTCACTCAGATTTCCACAGGACCAAGACTAGCAGCCATCACCTGCCCACTCTAACCTTGCCTCCACTAACCCTGGGAAGTCCTGACCATTTCCCTTGTTAGAATCTATAAGGGGAGAGGACCATACCCTGGAGAGAACTGGCAATTAGACTTTACCCACGTACCATCATGTAGAGGATTTAAACAGATGTTGGTCCTAACTGACACCTTTAGAGACTGGATTAAAGCCTTTCCTACACACTCAGAAAAGGTTATAGAGGTAGTCAAGGCACTTCTGAAAAAAATTACCCTCAGATTTGGACTATCCCAGTCCTTTCAGAGTGAGAATGGGCCTTCTTTTTTCCCTCTCAAGTAACTCAGAAGGTGACAAAGGCTTTAGGAAAAAAATACCATTAACATTTGGCATGGTTTCATAAATCTTCTGGAAAGGTTAAGAGCCAACCACACTGTAAAACAAACTCTGGCAAAACTTTCCCAAGAAACTTCTGGGTCTTGGATCTAATGATTGCCAATAACTCTCCTGAAGATCCAAAATACCCCCAAAAGCTGGGTTAAATGAGTCCATTTGAGACGCTAAATGGGAGGCTTTTTCATATCCTGGTATGTTAGTGGGCCCAGAGACCAAAAGGCTCTTATGGCACCTAATCAGTCTGGGCCACGTAAAATAAGCTATCTAGCCATATGGAACCAAAGTCCTGCCAGCTCCTGGCCCAGAGGACCACCTAGTGTATGCCCTGGAGAACAGTGCTCATTAAAATTTTAAAAGATCAATTAAAGCCAAAATGAAAGGAGTTCCCTTTCAGAGATCCTTGCCAAACCCACTGCAGTAAAGGAGGCAAAAACAGGTAGCTGGACTTACCCTTCTAAGATAAAGTTGGCCCTACCTGAACTGTCTCAGGTGAAGGACCACACAAAAACAAACAAACAAACAACTACTGTGATCCTCTGGAAGATCTGAGGCTCCTTTTCAAAAAGCAAACCTTCAGTATTGCTCCAAATGCAGAGAAGCAGAATCACTAATGACCACAAATGCATCACAGCTTTAAATGGAAATCCATTCTGAGACTCCTTTCAACTGGATTCATAATGTGGGCAATCTTGCTGGGGTCCCAGCTCTCAGGCTCCTGGTAGTTTATCTAATATCCCTCTTTACCATGCTTTCCTCTCCAAAGGAAGCATGGAAATAAACTCCCTTTAAAAACTGCTCCCAAATAATAACACAAAAGATAACATGTCTAATTGATGAATCTGTCATAGTCCACCTTTTAAGATAGACAACACAGTATCTGTCTTGTTCCTTCTCATATTTGGCCAATGCTTACTCAACTTAAGAGTAAAGTTTATTTATTCACAGCTTCAGGTGATGATTCAGACTATAACCCATGATTCTCCTAACAAATTCACCTAGCTTTCTCCCACCGAACAGACAGCTTAACAATTCTTGACATATAGGTACTAATTCTTTTATTGTCTTCTGACAGGTTCTTTCCAGCCTAGCTGTTAAGCTCAACATCCCAAGGTAGTTAAGAGCACATAATTTCCAGCAGGTAGGACCTTCAGCCTCATTCAGCAGGAAGCAGCTATAAAAAAATAGAGACCTCCACTTTTTCAGTATTCCATAACAAATTATGGGTATTATGCCTCGCAGGGGTAACTCATTAGAGCTAGGACAAACCAGTTAAACAACTGGGAAAAAAATCTGTCAAAGTCATGGAGACCAGAGCACATGCTCAGAATACAGGATCCAGGATGCCTCTGCAGTTCCTGAGCACTGTTCACAAAATCAATCAGAAAAATGCTATTTTCCACTCTTCATTTCATCTGACACAAAACAAAGCAAGTCTTCAATAGAATTATTTAAATCTGGCAGCAGCCCAAGTAAATATTTTTAATCAGAAAACTGTCACATGCCTTATTTGCATGAGGGAAAAGCCAATCCAGGAAGTCCAGATACAAAAGCCTCTTTCCCTTTATCCTCAGGGCTTCTCTGAGTCTGTTCACCAGCCTACTCTCACTGTACGGAGTGCACTTGTTTGTTAACAACTAAGACAAAAGATATAAGTTGCTGTGTACAAAGCAGTACATCCACTTAAAGAAACACAGGGACTACTCCAGGAAGTCAAGGTGATAGCAATGTTCTGAGGAGAAGCTGGGGTGGGGGAAGCACTGATGAAGACCCTGCCCAGAGAAAGTTTTCCTACGTACTTCCTTTCCCTCCAACAAAGCCCTGGGAAGCCAGGCACAGTGAAGCATGCCTGTAACCCAGCTATTCTGGAGGCTCTAGCAAGATGATCACAAGTGTGAGGACAGTCTAGACAACTTAGTGAAACCCTCTCCCTCAAAAACATAAATAAATAAACAGGAAGAAGAATGTAAATCAGTACTGGGTTCAATCTCCAGCAACACAAAAACATTAGAAGAATGAAAGAAAAGCAAGAAAACAACTGTGAGCCTCTTAATTTGTCAAGATGGAGCTCTGAAGTTGGAAGCCATCTTCTGACAGTCCCAGCCCTTGAATAAACCTGAGTCCTTCCCATCTATTCTAACATTATGAATATTGGCTTTCAAGTGGCAAGCCACCTGGCCTTTAGGGCAATTACACGTGAACAGTGAGGCACTACAGTCTATGTAGGCAGGCTGAGCATCACAGAGAGATGGAATCAGAGCTCTTAGTAAATGGCACCTGACATGAACACAGCTTTTGGACCTTTTAATAAATCCACCTCCCTTCCTCAGATTTTATTTTTTCTAACATATTGTAGGAAAGATTAATTGTCTCTTACATTTACTTCAACAAAAGTCTATATTCAGTTACCTGATAACACAATTTAGAAAACTATTAAATACGAAATTACTTATCTTTGCATATCATTTTCTTCTATAGTCTGAAATGGTCTATTCATTTCACATCAGAGGACATGACCGAACTGAACTCCATAAATTTTATTTCTGGAATTTTTTTTTCAAAACTTGTGAAAAATTAGACATTACTGACAAGTCTATAAATATCTTTGATAAGCATGAAGTTAAACATTGTAAGCATTTAAGGGCCAGGGATATACCTCAGAAGTGCCTGCCGGGCAACATTTATGAAACAAAGCAAAACTTTGGCGTACATGACTTGTTCTGTAACTGTTCCACAAGACAAGCAAACATTTCCAATAAATTTTAACTTGATAAAGGACTGATGTCTTGTAACAGGAGCAGTGCATGATACCGAATGTCACATGATCACTACTGGACCAATGGTTCTTTTCTCTCTCTTGCTGTGTATCATGAATGACCGTCTCCCAACAGCTAGAGGTTATGGAGGAAATCTCATCTGCAGAGGAAGAGGATATAAAGCCAGAAGAATCAACCCAAATGAGATTAGAGAAATCTGTCAAATGTAGGAAACTACAAAGTTTTGTAGGAAAGCACCACTTGAATAAAGTGGTATGAGCAATACATTCAGTTAAGGACAATGCAATGTCACATTTCTGCAAAATCCTCAAAGGAGACAAAAGTGAATGTCACTGGACAGGTTCCTTATTAAAGTTGCACAAAAAAAATGAATGATTTCATTGAGTCAAAAGATAGCAATGATTGAGTTAGTGAGGGTGAATGTTGTCTTACAAAATAACCCTCCCCTCTCATCTCCCTCACACCAGCCACAAAGGTTTTCAAAGGTAAGTTCATGTTAATTTATTTATATGAGTATTGCTTGGTTATAAAACAATCATCTGAATTTCCATTAATTTTTATAGAAAAGTTCACTCTGCTATACTAGTGCCTGGGATTATAAGCATGTTTCCAGAATGAATTATATTCACAAAGCAAGGTTTTACTGTATTTCTAAATTCTACATGATGAAGGAAATAAAACACCAATAATTCAAATAATTAGTGGGGAATTAATATGTAATTACACATCAAAGAATTCAATTGCATGTATTAGTGTCAAGAAAATGGATAACTTTGAACTTCTGTCAAAAGACATTTGAAAACAAAATGGTATTTTCTTCTTTAAATGAGTGTAGCTTATACACCTCTTAAAGAAATTACAACAGAAAAAATGACATAAAAGGCACATGTAGGCCAATTAATACTGGCCCTAACTAATCCCAAAGAAATCCTTTCCTCAAATTCTTAGAAAGCAATAGAAAGAAAACTATTGTAGGAACTAAACCAAAACTTCTATAATTTTTCTCTCTTACTAATTATGAACTGAAATTACCTAGCATAATGAAACTTTGATTAAATCCAACTATCTGCCAATTTCACTCTTACCCCAAGAAGTTCAATGTGGCTATGAAAATATTCAAAAGCAATGCCCTTCTCCACTATAATGCGTATCAACAAATCAGCTGGGTGCTCACTGCTTCCTGGCAATATTACCACTCTCCAGTTAACTCTCCTCATCTAGATAGCTACTGCACACTTTCTCCTCTGTTCTCTAACACTGATACTATCTACTTCATCACCATTGGCTGCTGACCTTGCTTCCTACTCTATGAAGTAAGTCATCAGGAGGGAACTTCCAACCATCCTCCTTCTACTCACCTACTTGCATTTGTATCTAAACACTCTGCCTTCCTTCCAATTATGAATAAATGGTCTAAGTTCCTGCGAAACCTCAGAAAACCTATATCATTTCTTTCTCATTTGATAGAAAAAATTACTCCAGTGCTAGCCTCACTCACACTTGGGTCTCTATCTATTTATCTCTCAATGTCTCTCAAAAATAGTTCCTTCTATAATGAACCATTCTCATACTGATAGAAAAAGTCATTTATATGCTTAAAAAATTTTTAACCCCATACCCCTATTTAAATAGAGCACCACTCTCTCTTCCCTTTTACGACAGATGATCTCAAAACAGGCTCTTCACTCTCCTCTCCTCATTTTTTCTTGAGCCCACTTAAAACAAACTTTTACCCCAATGTATCACCAAAACCATTCTAAACAAGGTGACCAAATACCTCCATGTAGTACAACGCAATAATTATTTCTTACAATTCATCTCATACAAAATATGTCAGCATAAAGTTTATACAGTTGATCATACTTCTTCAAATATTTTCTTCTCATTGTTTCCAGGACACCGACTTCCTTAACTCCATCCTGTCACTAATTATGCTTTCTCTGTTGCTTCTGTTAACTATTCGTCCTTATCTGGGAACAAGAGCTCACTCCTGGGATCTCCTGTCTTTTCTATCTATGCTCTCCTCCCTAATAATCTCACCAAAATTTGGTTTTAATTACCATTTATTCATTGATTTCTCCCTCTAGTTTAGAGCACTTCTTGAACTTTGTCCAGTATCTTTAATTCTTAGATGACATGTAAACTTGAATAAGAAACAGGCACTTTAACACATCAAAAAACAAATAAATAAGTCCTTGATCTTAAACAACAATTAGCTGATATTATAAATATTCTCCAATATCCAGTTATCCTCTCTCAGGCACAGAAATTATACCTGGTAAGAATACATGACTAGGGCTGGGGATATAGTTCATCGACATAAGTGCCTGCTTGGCAAGTGGGAGATTGTAAGTTTGATCCCCAGTACAAAAACAAACAAACAAACAAAAATAGAACATGTGATTTGCTCTAGTCAATTTATTTATTTAAATTTTTATTTTCATTACTACATGTTTGCAGTACACAATGATTACATTCATCATGGGAACTTAGTGCAAGTACAAAACATATCTTAATTCTTTTTACAACCCCTTCCTCTCTCTGCCCTTCCAGTTTAATATAAACGGAAGTTTCATGTATCAATGCCAACCGAGACAGTCAAATGTCCACTTAACATTTTCTGATCTCTCTCTCTCCATTGTGGCAACTTACAATGCTCTGTATTCCACCCAGATGGTGAGACTACAAGATGGTGGAGCCTGCAGTCAATCAGCCTTCATTAAGATGGCAAAAGACCTTCCCACTGACTCATATGGGCCAGACGAGCAGGGATACATGCACACATTTAGCCACTAAGATACTGGAGTTCTTAGTGATCACCTCCAACATCCCCGGGTCCATACCCACCCCCCAAACCTGCTGCCACACAGTCCTCTCTTCTCTATATCAGCAACCCCATCCTTTCAGGCACTCAGGAAAAACCCTGGCCCCTCCTGTTCTCTCAGACAGCATAGCTAATTCATCAGCATGTCTTCTGCCTTCAAAATACACCCCGAAGCCAATCACCTTTTACTGCTTTCACTGCCATCCTATATTTCAAAAGACACTGGTAAGATAAAAAGGCAAACAATAGATTGGAGAAAAGTACTTACAACACATACATCCGATGAAAGTGTTACCAAAGAGGACAGATAAGAGTAAATAAGCCCATTTAAAGATACTATCATTATTTAGTCACTTGGAGATGTAAATTAAACTAAAACCACAATGAGATAGTACTACATACATAGTGGAATGACAAAAATTAAAAAGATTGACAATGACAAGTGTTACCCAGGATGTAGAGCATCGAAACTCTTATTCACAACTGTCTAGAATGTAAAATGCTACAGCCACTTTGGAAATTACTTTGAATATTTCTTAAAAGTTAAATATAGACCTGTGATAAGTAAAGAATGCTTTTATAATAGAAATCTTCCAATTCAAAAGCTATTTATAATTGCCAAAGATTTAGCTCAGCAGCACATCCTGCCTGACAATCATGAGGTTCTGAGTTCAATTCCTGTTACAAAAAAAAAAAAGGTATTTATAGATTAAAGCTACCTAGAGATACCTTAGTCAACAGATACCAAAACATACATTTCCCAAATGATCCAGCCATTTCCCCTATAAGTATTCTCAAGAGCAAAGACAGTATATGTCTACTAATTTGTACGTAAGTATTTATAGTTAAACTCTACAATATTCTTAAAAGACTATCAATAGTTGAATGGATAAATAATTTGTAGGTATCCATACAAAATACTACTTTTCAGCAATAAAAAGGTCTGAGCTACTGATTAAGGCACAGACAAATTTCAAAAGAATTGTGCTGAGTAAATGAAGGCAGAAAAAAAAAAGCACAAAACATCACACAAAGTATGTCTATTACAAAAAGCTCTGAAAATACAAACTAATCTATATTGACAGAAATTAGAGGCATGGTTATCAGAGAAAGATGGGCACTGAGAGGGGCAGGAGGAATCTCAAAAGGACACGGAAAACGTTTTGAATATGTCTTCTAGGCTGCGTACAGGGTACACACCTACAGTGCCACCTGCATGGGAGTCTAAGGCAGGAGGGTCAGCTAAGCTCAGGAGCTAGAGACCAGCCTGCACAACATGTAAAACCCTATCTCAAAACACAAAGCAGAACAGAAGATGAACAGATGGCCCAAAACTCATGTGCTGGAAACTGAATTTCTAAGGTGACAGCAGTGGGAGGTGGAGCCTAAAGGGAGGTGTTTAGGTCACCAGGGTTCCACTATCAAAAATGGACTAATGTCAATTACTGAAGGGCTTGAGGCTGCAAGATCAACCTCTCCCTCTCTCCCAGATTCTAGTTTTCTCCCTGCCTCCGCTACTGGGTGATGTCGCCAGAAGAACCTCCCCAGATGCAGGCCCCTGACACTGTAAGAAATCATCCCTGCTCCCTATAAATCACCCAGTTTCAGTTCTGTTAGAATAAGGCAAAATGGGGTATAAAACAATAAATCTTTGAAATGTCTGCAATTTACTGCATGTATGGGATTATTTCAACAGGATTTGCTTTAGAAAAGACTGTAACAGATGATACCCAGTTTCGAAAAGAATAACATGGATGAAAGTTAAAATAGATACATAGCAGCATCCTAGGACAGAATTGAAATGGGGAGCCATTGTGTCTTCCTTCAGAGCATTCTTTTCTGTATGAAAGAAACAAGGGGGGAAAGGTGGACTATCCATCCTATTACTAAGAAAAGTTCCTCAAAACAAAGTCACATCACTTTTCAACCAAAGAAGAACCATCAATAAACACCATAGCTTCTGAAATGCACAATTGCTTCTTCAATATATAATCACTCTTTTGCTGGGGGCCCCTAGTAGTTGGATAATTTCTTTGGGGATTTAGAAACCTGGCCCAACTTTTCCTTTATGTCATCTAACTTTCAGAATGTTTACAACCAATTTTAGCTCATTATGAATTTTTTCAGGAACTAAGAAATGACCACAGTGAACGTCCTCTGCCTGTGAGTCTTGTACGAAGTTTCTTTCATTGGTTCCTCTGTCCTTTGTCTCCCAACTGCCCACCGGGGTGGCAAAATCATCCTCTCTACTTCATTCATCCTCCCTGCTTTTCTTTCTGAAATCCTAAATTCTACTCATCATTGTCAATTTTAGTATCAGCCTAATAAGTGAATACAGTCTCTTCTTTCATAAGCTGCTGCAGTTATGAATTCTCTGTGTACAATCCCTTAAGTCTAAAACACAGTTTTGAACAAAGCAAAAGCACAGCAAGCTTTTATGTTTAAATCAAGTCAGCTCCCAAGACTCACCTCATTTCCACCAACTGCCTTGGTTAAAATCACTGCAGAAGACACAGGGGGAGGCATGCAACCTACTGTCTGCAAACTGAAAAATAAAAGAAAATCCAACTGTAAATATTGTTCCCCAATTATAAATAGCTTCCACTACATTCATTCTAAAACAGCAGAACTGAACACATAAAAATAGGAACGTGTTTATTGATGTACATTCCCTGTTGAGTTTAGACAATTTTATGTGAAGCAACATGGCTTAAAATACGTGGCAGATGCAGAGGCTTTCCGCTCTCATTCCATTCCTCAGGCTGGGATGAATTTATTTTTAGCTAAATTATTGTGTGTGCAGTCCTTGAAAGATAAACAAAAATAGTACATCATTTAGTATGTATATTTCATCTTAAGTTATTTTCAGGTAAAATAAAATTTCTCCTGATACTTTCTGTCAAAAGCCTTCTTGGCAAAAATAAAGTTCTAATCACACCGAAACCTCAAGAACATTTAATAAAGTATAAGCTTACATTTTTCAATTTCTTTCTATAAAACAACTCTCAAATATGCATCTCATAAAAGACATTTTCATGTTGTAACGTCATCATAGAAATACAAAGGACATAACCATACACTTATTCTGATTTTTGTAGTAAATTCTATGTAGTATCTATTTAAAATCTGGTTTATAATAAATAATGTTTATATTACCAAGATCATGAAACTACTCTTTTAGTATATGATACAAAATAAACTGCCTGATAAGCAAAGGAAAATGAGTAGCAAATATGAATACTAAAACTTAAAAAAATATTACTGAGAAATTGTATAGAACATCCTTTTGGGGAGAGCAAACAGCTAGGCGAGGTGGAAAGTTCATATACAAAATAAAAGAGCATTTGATGTCAACAGATTCTGAGTGGGTATCATTGCAGATCATTTTTACTTATTCTTATAAGAATGTTTTTGTTTAAACTGTTAAAAATTATATTGCCTCTCAAATAAAAATAAAAACAAAAATATCTTCATTTCAATTAAAATATAACAAAAGTCTCTACAACTTCTACCTTACTCAATTCAACATGACCTTTTGTTATTATTATTTTATTTTTGGACATACAGTCTACATATTTACCCAGGCTGATCTAAAACTCTTGGGCTGTTACAGTTCTCCTGACTTGGTCTCCTAGTTAGCAGGGACTACAAGTGTTGCCACGGTTCCCAGCTTTCTCATTTTTTCAGGTCCCTATTTTCCTAAGTAAAGCTGAAGTGTCTCTGAGCCTTCCTTAGGGTCCAGCACCATCACTGATACTGAGCATTTACCATTTGTAAGACATTCTAGACATTTTATACCCTTTCTCATTTATTCCTCATCAAGTACTTTAAATAAATACTACTACTGTTCCCACTTTGACGAAAACTGGAGTTCAGAGTAATTTATCCGAAGTAATTTATCCAAACTAACAAAGCCACCTCTCCTGGTTAAACTTTCATCTGGCTGTGAGGGCCTAAGAGTGTTCTGGGCCTCCGCCTCTGGCCTCTGCTTTATATCTCCCTGGCCACAAATGTTGCAGGTATTTTCAAGTTTTGTAGCTTATTCAATCTTTCCCTTTTCTGACCTCTTCCTTTTTATATGCCATGAGACCAAATTGTCCCTATCTGATAAAAAAACTGTATGTTTTCTTTGGGAAGGATACTATATGAGAGTATAAAAAAATGCATGAGACATTATTCTTGCCTTCCAGCAGATTAATTACGCAAATATAGACAACTAACAACAAAAGTAGCAGTGCTGTCTCCTCAAGAAACAGTCCTACTAAACTGCAACTCATGGTTGACCTTCTTTAAAAAGTCCTCTTCCTCCAGGACCCCACAGTTCAATCTCTTCTAATTCTCCAGAACCGATTCTTTGCCCCTTCTACTAGGTAAGAAGCCTGAACTTAAACTACCAGCGATCTCCAGATAACCAAATCCGAAGTCCTTTTCCCTGTATGTGCTCTTATATTCTCAGGACACTCTATCTTCTTGGTTAACATCTCACCTCAGCATTCTGACTTACCTCTTGTCCTTTAAACCTACCAATCTTTTACCAATCTTTAAAACTACTTGCCAATTTTCATTTCTAGCACTATTATCAATGAATTTGTAGCTCCCTAGGCTGGCCCCTCAAACTAAACAGGTCTAATATCAAATTCATATATTTTCTTTTCTTCAGCTTTACAGAGGTGTAATTCACAAACTAAAACTGTATTTGTTTGGGGTATAAAATATGACATGTTGTTTTATGTATACATTGTGAAATGATTATCATAATCAAGCCAATTGCTATTTCTTGGGTTAACACAGTTGTCTCTGCACGTAGTAAGAATATCTGACTTCACTTAGAAATTTCTTATATATGAATTTCTACATTTTTTTAAAAGAAAGTTTCCTGTCTGAATTTATCAAAGGAACCAGTTTTCACCTGATACAATATAAAACTAACTGTATGTGATTCCGTTTGCTCCTCACAAATTAACTGGTCGTCACCACCAACTTCCCATTCCTCACCCTGACTGCCGCCACCATGCCTGTTCAGGTGTTTTCCACCTAAATCCAGACACCTGCCAATGTGCTGACGGGGCTCAATCCCCACCCTCTCTAAGGTGGCAAAGGCGGCTGTGCTCAGAACAGCTCTGCTCCAACATGAATTAAGTGGGAGTGTGCAAGTATCTCCAGTCTGCTCTGTGTGTACTTTCACACTGGGGAAGGGCTGATGAGCTGCAATAAGCTCTCCCTCAGTGAAGCAGACTAAGTGTGCACTCCTGTAACATCCCAAGGTGGGAAATTTATACCTGCGTCAGTTAGCATACAGAGATCACAAGTGCTACTCTTCTAGTAAGATGGCACAATGCTATCAGATTAATCTTCCTGAATGACCACTTCTGAGCACGTTTTTCTCTTTTGTGACAGCATTTGAAGTGTCCTCCCTCACCTACAGGTTCAAGGACAAACTCTTCAACCAAATAGTTCAGGCCTTTACTGAGCTGGCCCTAAAGAAACTTCTTATATTTGTTTCCCACTAATGCCTCAGTTTTAGGTGTACACAATCTTTGCTGAAACATTTATCTTTTAATGAATAATACTATTCATTTGACAATGTATATGCCACCTATTGAGGTTATTTACTATCTATCTGTCTATGTAGTTTAGAAGTTCCCTAAAGATGAAGAAATTGAATTAATAACTTTGTTCAGCGTCATACAGCATGTTAGGGTTAGGGTCAGAACTCAGTCTTTGGGTATGAAGATCAATGTTTTAGCTGTTATACCACAATGCTACAATGTGATTAGTTTTAAATCCCTTCAAATCATTTTTATTATTAAATTATTTTATTAAACATGAAAACATTTTAAAGAAAGAAAAGATTCTAATAAAATATACTGCTGATTCAACTATTATATTGAACATAACATGAAGCAAGTGAAAAAGTATCTGTTCCATATATGTAATTTTCTTTAAAATATATGACATTTAAAAAATACATATTACATGTAGCCATTTTCTGTATGTTTGCTGAGATATAAAATGGAGAGTTAAAGCATCCAATGGGCAGCCTACATTATACACACACATACATATTATATCATCTCTATTTTTCTCCTGACTCTTAAAATTCCCAGAATAGGATTTATCCTAGACATTCCAGACTTCTTTCAAATACACAATATGCTCTAATTCAGAGTAATAAATTTCTCATGAGATAAGCTAACTGTTCAAAGATTATTGATTGTTGACACCATAATCAAATATAAGTTGACCTATGTTAAAAAGTAAATTTTTTACAAAAAAACTAGCAGGATTTATTTTAATTAAATACAAGAGAAAGCACAGAGGTATATTTTAAGATTGTGTTAAACAATTCTTTGATTGCCCTTTGAATGAAGTGTTCAAGAATAATGTTACAAGACTTTTTATTTCCTTGTAAGATACCACACATAGCCTTTTTGTACAGAGTTGCCATAGAAGCAGTAACGTTACTAGAAATGCCCCATTAAAAGTACGCTCTTCAAAAGGTTTAAACATACCCTTTTAAAAGCCATTCATTGATGGATGTGAGTGATAAAAGCTGAAGAAAGAGCCATATTGTTGCTGGGAAGAATGCAAGTGTAAAGATCTGAATAAAAAGATGCAGTTTTAAATGCACCAAAGCACTGGTCAGCTCCTGGAAAAATGAAGGATACAAAGCAAAGGTAAGAAAACTACTTCTGGAAAGAGATTACCACTAAAATAATATCACAAGCTTTTAATTTTGCACTTCTTTCATAGTTAAAATCTTTAGAGACAAATGCATAAGAAATACACTTTAAAAAGAAAAAGTACTCATGACATTATAAGGTACTCTGATACACAACTTTTGAAATACTCTAACTTCTTTCAAATATGCAATAAGTGCTAATAAGTCAACCTTATAAAATTCTAGACCAGGAGGCATAACTAATTACCTTTACACTAGTTTAGGTTTGAAAACTTATGACATTATAAACAAACATGAATGTTCATGTACATTAGAAAATGAATCTTTTAAAAAATGTTTAGCAGGACATATCTTTTTAAATTAAATACTTTTCTCATTATGCTAAATTTGTAAGTCCTTGATTTGGCAAGATATTACTGATTCTACAAATAATAATGTTTAAATGGGTCCCTCGATGTGTCTATAATTCAAAATGATCCCCCAGTCTACCTGATGCAATTCCTTGCTAACATTTATTAAATGACAGCTATAGGCCATCATCTAAGCTCATCACTTTACATCTGTTATGTCAATTAACTCTCAAAACAACCCTGATAGGAAGATATTATTATTATCCCTATTTACTGATGAAGAAATTGACATTGAGAGCTAAGACATGGTGAAATCAGCATCAAGCCCATTGCTAACACAACATCACATCCACGACTGCTTCCTCCATTACATACACTGCTATCCCAGGGAGGGTGCAGAGGGGGTACAATGCACATTAAATAGAATAGGACTCTTGCAGTGAAAAAAACAGTAATTGCTTAACCTCCAGGGTTCAAATACCTATAAACTTATATTTGCATATAAATGTATGCCATGTGGTTATCAGCTGAAACAAAACAAATTTAGAAACCAAAAGTATAGTCCCTTAAAACACAGAAGTCACCACTAAAATACATATATTTGAAGATGCCAGAAACTCACTGGTTATAAACACAACTCTAATTCACCTATAAGAAAGATGCTCAAAACATCCTCAGCCTCAGAGATTGTAGCCACAGTTCACCAGTTTGACAAACAGTAGTTAATATGACTCATTCACCTATCACCACCTTCTGGGATCTGTCAAATTCGCCTTCCAGAGACATGAGGCAATTCTATTCTGGTCATAACAGGTTTCTACAAACACAGAAAGAACTTCTGGCCATCTAAGTCTAATGTAGGATGACTGAAAAACACCAGGCTTACCACAACCAGCATAAGGTCCTTAGATTAGATCTTAAAAACAAAAAGCCATCCTACAATGACTCAGAATTCTTAAAGTTGTACCCAGAAGAAAACTTGAGCAGTCTTGAAACCAAATCTCATTTAAGAATACACAGAGGTCCCTGGCAAATATAAAATGAGTAATCATCATTTTCATTTTTAAAAGTCATAGTAACATGATTAGCTACAGTACAGTAACTAATCACCTCTGTCTCTCTACCTACTCCCTCTCCCTCAAACCCCCTCTTTCTTCCTCTAGGAATTAAAACAAAGCCTTTACACTGCGCCATATCCCAAACTCTTTCTTTTTTTTTTATTTTTGACAGAGTCCCACAAAGTCTGCTAAATTGCCTAGGTTGGGCCTGAACTTGTGGTCCTGCTCCCTCAACCTCCTAGAGTGCTGGGATTATAGGAGTAAGTCAGCCACCATGTATATACCCACATTTCAGATAGGAATATCAAATGGCATAACTTTTCTGAAGTAATTTTGGAATATATGTAAAAAATTATAACATAATTTATTCTTGGGGACTCCAAAGTTTATGTTAAAAGTAGATGATTATAAACATATATACCCAGAATTGTTCATCACAGTATCATAATATAGCACAGAAAAACCTGCAAGTAAGGTAAATGCTCAAAGCAGGAAAATATTTAAGAATTATTAAAAATTTGTGTGTCTGACTTATTTCACTTAACAGTTTCAGAGTGCACTCATTTTCCTACAAATCATTCGTGTTTATTCTTCTTTATGGCACAATTGTACTCCACTGTGTATTGTCTTTATCCATTCATCTACTGATGGACAGACAGGCCACTTCCAAGATTTAACCACTATAAATTTTGCTGCTATAAACATAAGCATGCATGGATATCTTTTCCTCTCTTGAGAAGACACCTAGAAGAGAATCACTGGGTCAAATGGATTTTTAGTTTTTGGTTTTGAGGAATCTCCATATTGACTTCCATGGCGGTTATACTAGTTTACAGTCCTAGCAACAAAGAAGGGCTCCTTTATCCTTGCAGCTTTGCCAGTATTTGTTATTTCTTGATTTCTTGATGATGGACATTCTTTCTGGGGTAAGATGGAAACTCGAAATTGTGTTGATGAGGACCCAAGAATATGAGATTTTACTTGTACTCTGCCAGCAGGAATGTAAACTGATATAACCTATGGAGAACAATCTAGAGGCTTATTCTTTAAGAAATATTCACAGTGTGGTTGGAGGGATATAGCCCGAGGTTTGATCTTAACCACCATTAATAAAAAGAAGAAAGCAAAGCAAAGCAAAACAAAGGCCAGGCAAGGCAAAACTTAAGATCTATATTCTAGCATCTGGAATGTCTATCATAGCTTCAACTACGAATATCATTTGACCTAGTAATTCTAGTTCGAGGAATTTATTTTTTGAAACTAGTTTGTGATATTGAAATCTTGTAAATCATCTAAATGTCCATTGGTAGAATTGAAATATATCACAACACATCCATACACCAACATACTATTTGGCATGTGAAAAAAATGGGTTATTTATGCATTTATATGAAAAAATCCACATGATACCCTTAAGTAAAATATGTTATACAACAAACAATATAAAATACTACAATTTGTGAAGAGATGTAGATGTTTTGCATAGCATTATCCTTGGAAATGCATACAGAAATTGTTAACATTGGTTGTCTCCAGAGAACAGAAGTAAAAAGGTAAAAAGGTAAAGAAAGGAAGACTTTCATCATACATACTTTTTGTACTTTCTGATTCTAAACTTTGTGAAAATAATTATATGTTTATTAAAGGAAGCAAAATGCAAATTATCTTATTTCAAAGTAAAATATTATGCTGGGGATTTAGTTCAGTGCATAATTGCCTCCCTGCCAAGCACAAGGTCGTGAATTTGATCCCTGGTACCAAAAAATAAAAAATAAAAATAATAAAGCAAGATATTGTAAAATATAAATGAAGACAATTTTCAATTGTATGACAAACTATTATATACTGTTAAGTGGGAAAAATGGGGTAAGATTTTACATACATATGCCTGCAATTGTATATACCCATATAACTCTATTTTTAAAAGTAAATATTTTAAAAATATGCATAAAACATGTTTAGGTAAAAATGGACTAAAAGCTTTTTTGTGCATATTAATATTAGTTATTTTCATCCTTTCTAACCTTTCCATAATGAGCAAATAATACTTTTATAATCAGAAAAAATGTTTTAAAATCATAGTTAGAAAATATTACCTGATCTAATAAATCACAGTTAGGAACAACGGACAATGCACTGAAATAATGGACAGTAAAGAACTCAGCAGAAAGAGACTCAGCAAGAAGCCGAACCACACCTGCCCCAGAGCCAGGGTCTGCCCTGGGGAGTGGGAAGAGACTCAGCTCACCTTCCCCTGAGCCAGGCAGTGTGGGGTGTGCAGGCTAGGAAACCAGAAGAGCACCTTTCCCTCCCCCACCTCATGAGCAACTGGCTGAGTCACAGGAACTCGGGGGGAGAGGACAGCAACTGAAGTGAAAGAAGGAGCCAGATGCTTGTACTCTTTGATTGACTCTGCAGGCCTGGGGCTGGTGTCCTGGGCATCTGTCTGGAGGATGGCAGTGTCTATTATGGCAACCTTGGGGGATTTCCTCCTGTCTTGCTTTTGAAATCTAATGTTTTGTTCCATTTTACTGTTTTGTTTTATTCCTGTATTTGATAATCTGAGCAACTATTTTGATGATAACAATATCCAAATACCAACCATTATTAAATTCCCATTATCTTGTTTCGAAAACCTATAGAGCTATTATTGTTTTGTTATTGCTATTATGGATTTTTAGTTTTATTGGCTTCATGATTTTTCGTTTCTCTTTAAAATAAAATTTAAAAAAGAAGAAGATGAACATGAAAAAGAAGGAGAAGAAGACCCAGCAAAACGACTCATATTGGCCTACCATGTTGGGCCATAAGGATCCTCTTAACAGAGATAGTAGATATGAAGGGCTTCTCAGAAAGATTTTCAAGACTGTCACAAAACTCACACACTTTCTGTATCTTGTTACAACTATAAAGATAAGGAGGATAATTTGGGCTCACTGGCCACAACTGAAAGGAAAAAATAGTATTAATCCATAGAGAATTTAGGGCCATATATTCAAATAAATGCCACCAAGAATAACTGAAAAGTTGACTCTGTATTACATGTTGTTTATTCATCTGCAAAACAGGTCATCATCCATTAAAATAAACTTGAGATATATACACTCCATGTCATGTCCTGATTATATCAGATTCTCACTGAGAACATCAAGAAGTGCTTAAAACCAGAGCTCCGCCTGGGATGTAGAAACATATTCATTATGTGCCGAATTTTCTTGTAGTCCTTATTTGACCTTTATCTAATTCCCTTTCTGAGAGTCAGTCTCATAGCTTTGGACTTGAAACAAGCAGCATGAGTTTAAATGTTAGAATTTGCTGTATTTACTTTTCAGCTAGTAAGTTTTTAAAAATTGTAGTCTGTATGGGAAATAAAGAAAAATTCTTTTTCAGGCCCTGAGCCTCTTGCTCATCTTTGTTTCTATTTTGAGCACCAAGCATGGTGCCTTGTAGCCAGATATACTTAATAGGTGTTTCTATAAGTGAATTGGTCCTGTCACAGCCTGCAAAATGACAAATACTCTGAAACTGTATGTTTGAAGTTAGCTAAGTGTAAAACAAA